ATTACTATCGACACTCGTCTCATGCGCTGTTTTTTGTTGGTCACGACAGGCGGCGTTCACGTCTCTCTTACTAAGTCAGTTCATCTTAGTCTACTAAATCTGAGCATTTCTCTACTACTGTCAATTCTTGTAAAGTCGCAATCCTGGTTCTAACATTGAATCAACAGAAAGAGAGCAAAAGCCAAGCTCCGGAATATCGTTGATGATTGATTCATTCAGACTTATTCTCAATTCGTCGTGTCTGATGGAAAGCAGGGAAAAACACATCTCAATTTTTACGCGTCATGGCTCTTTAGCGCGCATTTCGAAGTTTCTAGTCGGGTTTGGCCTTCCAATGCAGCACGTTCAACAGTAGTGTACCGGTACGTGTACTGGTACCGGCTCTCATCACACCGAACCAATACCGGTACGTATCTTGATCATCATTGAACAACAGAATGAAACCAAGAAAACCACATTCTACCAATAATAATGCATCAAGATCCTCCCCTATCATTACCTGGATCCTGGTTGCTCTCCTGCTGTTGCATTTGTTGTTAACAAGCGACTTGCCGTCGAAGATTCGTGAAGTCATCTGGGATAAAGGCGCATCAGAGCATTTTTCAGACAAACACAATCCCCCTCAAGATCTGATGATGAAAGACTATGAGCTCGCAAAACAGCAATCGTATGGATTCTTTCAAGACATTTCGGAAGCCAGTTGGAAACGATTGCAGCAAATTGCAAGGAAGCATAAACCACATATGCATCCCGACAATCCATTGAAACTCGCCGACACCACGGAACGACAAGAAACCACACCTAGCTCGCATGAAACAAACTATGAGCCAGATTTTCCATGCCAATTTGAACAGCGGGTTGGCCGAAACTCACATGGCGATGGTCCCAAGTGGGTATGTGACCCACATCGGATCACGAACAACTATCGGCGACAACGAAACGGCAGTGACAATAAGTGCTTGGTCTACAGTATCGGATCCAACGGAGACTTTCAATTCGAAACCGAATTGCAACAACTGTTGGGCCCAGGGGTTTGTGAGATTCACATTTTCGCTATGGAAGACTATTCCAAAGAGATGAAAGAGTGGTCCAAGAAACACTATGTCGCTGACTTGCATTTTCATCAATGGGGACCGACGATCGCAGCTGCTGCAGCAGAAGAGAATAAAACGGGAAAGGGTATGGGAAACGTATCCAAAGATCACAAGTATCGAAGCATTGCCAATATTGTGCAATCCTTGGGACACTCCAAGCGAGAACAAATTGACATATTCATGATTGATTGCGAATCTTGCGAATGGGATGCCTTTGAAGAATGGTTGGACCCGGCTACCATGCCACGGTTGGAACAAATCTTGATTGGTCGCTCCCCTCCAAGCAAAGTACTGCCGTTCTTTGATACCTTACGGGCTAAGGGCTATGTCGCCTTTCACAAAGAGCCCAATATTCAGCATTCTCAAGGGAACTTTATCCAATATGGCTTCCTGAAACTAGCGCCGTCCTTCTTCCAAAACGGCAACTAGACACTGCGGTAACATCTTATCATTGTATGTCAAGGATGGATTCAGTAGGAACTACTAATTGAATGACAACATTTGATTTGATGTTGTGTAGTCTGTACCTTGCTTGCTGTATTGTAATTTCAATATGTTGTTCGCTCCGCTCTTATATTCTATTAGTGCTGTATTTTTGGTTTTATTCCGTATGGCACAGACCATTTTATTGTTCACTGACAACAAGATCAATGATGTTTGGAGTGGGTGTTTTCTTCAGTGCCTTGTTGGACCTGCACAATGGGCAGAAGGTTCCATGAATATTACTTGTTGGACGAGGACCGATACTTGACTGCTGCACAAGAAGCAGGCGTCAACTAGTCCTTATCAATCCTGCGAACCCAACTGTCTGGACACGGGATGTCGCATTGCTGGAGGTATTATTATTTATGATTATGGCCACCAGCCACTACCAGTGCACCTTGTTCTTGGCTCGTCGAATGCTGATTCTATAATATATTTACTTATTTATTTCTTTGCCGTACTGTCGAAGGAGGGAGTGCAGGATGTTGTTGTTGTCAGGTTCTGTCCGTGCCGCCAATGATTTGGTGCTCATGTCAGATGAAATGTACCAAAGGAATGTTTACAAGGATACACCATTTTGTTAGTGAAACAATTTATTGTGAGACGAGATGATCGATTGATTGATTGATTCAAATGTGAGTAGATTCACGGCATGCGCGCCCGAATATTCACGGATCCTCAGACCGGAAGTTTGTTATTATGAGCATACCGAGCTCAAATCATCATTGTTTGAGACCAAGAAAACACCACAGGAATGAATGAATGAATGAATCAATCAATCGCAATCAATTATTATAGGTTAGGTTAGGTTAGGTTACCAACATACCGTATAACTTCTTGATAAACACTGAGCAACAGAATGAAACCAAGAAAACCACACAATAATAATAATAATACTGATGCATCAAGATCATGTCTTATCATTTCCCGGATCGCAGTTGCTCTCCTGCTGGTGCATTTGTTGCATACAAGCGACTTGCCATCAAAGTTTCGTGAAGTCATGTGGGATGAATCGATGGCCTCGTCGTCGTCGTCGTCAACCGCAACCGTATCAAAAGCTTCAGACAAAAGAAATCGCCCTCAACATCTGAGGAAGGACTATCAACTCGCAAAAGAGCAATCGTATGGATTCTTTCAAGATATTTCGGAAGCCAACTGGAGACGATTGCAGCAAATATCGAGTGAACATCAACCACACATGTATCCTGACAATCCATTGAAATTCACCGACTTGGAACGACGAGGAACAACACCTAGCTGGTACCAAACTAATTATGAGCCAGATTTTTCTTGTCAATTTGAACGGCGGGTTGGCGGAAACTCCAATGGCGATGGTCCCAAGTGGGTATGTGACCCACATCGGATCACGGAAAACTACCGGCGACAGCGAAACGGCGGTGACAATAAGTGCTTGGTCTATAGTATCGGATCCAATGGCGACTTTCAATTCGAGACCGGACTGCAACAACTGCTGGGCCCAGGGGTTTGTGAGATTCACATCTTCGATATGGACGACTATTCGAACGAGATGAAAGAATGGTCGAAGAAACACAATGTCGCCGACTTGCATTTTCATCAATGGGGACTGACGACTGCAGCCACTGCTGTAGAAGAGAATGAGACGGGAAAAGGAAATGCTGCCAAAACAATAGCACCCGTATCCAAAGATTACAAGTATCGAAGCATTGCCAATATTGTGCAATCCTTGGGACACTCCAAGCGAGAACAAATTGACATATTCAAGATTGATTGCGAATCATGTGAATGGGATACCTTTGAAGAATGGTTGGATCCGGCTACTATGCCACGGTTACAGCAAATTCTTATCGAATTACATCGTTCCCCTCCGACCAAAGTACTACCGTTCTTTGATACCTTACGGGCCAAGGGATATGTCACCTTTCACAAAGAGCCGAATATTCAACATTCTCAAGGGAACTGTATTGAATATGCCTTTCTCAAGCTAGCACCATCATTCTTCCAAAGCGGTAGCTAGGTGCTGCTGTAGTGTAACAGAAATAGATACGATGTAATATTACCATGCATTCAATGAAAGGATGAATCTTGTGGAAGCAACGCTTGTGAACGATAGCCTCTTGTTGGTCAAACACGAACTCTGATGTAACCAAGCCGAATGGTCGTCCAGCAGAAAAGAGTGATGGACATCATCTTATCATAGTATGTCACTGATGGATGTAGTAGGAACTACTAATTGAATGACAATATTATCTGATGTTGTCTGTTAGATAATACCTTTTTGTATTGTTATTTCATTCTATTGTTCGATGGGAGCGAGTTCTTCGTCTCGCTTCGCTCTTCTATTCTAGTATTGCTGTATTTTTGTATTCATGCCGTCTGATATAGATCATTTTATTGTCCACTGACAACGAGATCAATGATCCTTGGAGTCGGTGTCTTCTTCTTCTGTCCTACTCTTCAATAGTAAGGTAATAAGAGTACTCGCTGAGCGTGGAATACCTGGAACGGTTCTTGTAGACCGTTTTGATGGTTTTGGTGATTGCAACAACCAACCTTTTGGTGAGCGCCCGACTTTGAAGTTTCAGCACACGGCCTTGTTGACGAAGGACCGCACGCATAGTCGGTGAGGAAAACAGTTTCGGTAAATTCAGGTGAGGTGCAAAGAGCATGACACCCACTTCAATCCACAAAATTTTGGCATGTTTCTCATACAGATCAGTCAAGGCAGCACCTTGTTCTTGTAATCGATCGTCATCTTCGTCATAGAAAGCGGAGTAGGACCATATCGGTTGAGCCTCCTCGTTGGATTTCAAAAAGTGATCGATATTTTTTGAAAGCGCTTTGAAAGGATCAGATGTCTCTTGCTCATGAAAGTGCAAGACAGTCGTTCGTATCAGAAAGATAAACATCATAAGGAGAAAGATGCCCCATGGTACGAGGCCACCCTTGTGCATTTGTTGGACTCGCTGAAAGGTCGTGTCACCCTTTAGCGGATGCTGATCCCTTGGAAATTCATGATAGGTAGAAATCATCGCCGAATCTTGATAATCATTCAGGCTGATGCTATGAGGGTGTTCCGAGGTATCGTAAGAGTTTGTAAAGATATGACTGCTGGGTATCAAGAGAGGTGGCATACAGTACTGTAGGTCGTGGATCTCTTGATGGACGATATTTTCATTTCTGGGCAATAACGATTACGTAGATGCAGAATTTTGAAATTGGAGTATCATCATGAATTCTCATGGGCGAGCGAGTCGCGTTTCGGCGAAAACAATAGCGTCGTAAGAGACACATTTTTTCTCGTCGTTAATGTGATGAAATGAATGTCGCTACATCCATTGCTGTGCACGCATTTGCAATGCAATAGAAGCAAAAGAAGTATTCTGTTATCATTTTCAAATACGGGAGTAAGGGCCAATATCCATATGGTAACTGAAGTGAAAAATTATGGAACGAAAAAGAAGAATGAATCAAAATCATTGAATGAATGAAGGAATGAATCAATCAATCAATCATCATTCAATCGTAGTCATAAATCGGTGGTAAGATGAGCATAAATAAATAAGTATATGTCCATATTTCGAATAATTTGACTCATCCAGATTACTTAATAAAACCAAGTGTCGTGTGTAGCTGGGTTCGTCATCGTTCATCGGACGCTTATATCGGAAAACCGAAAATTTAACATACGATCCAGCTGCCAGCTGCTACTACTTATTCACAAATACGACAAAACTCATCTACAAATCTTCTGTTTCATGCGCCTTCGTTTTGTTACAGGTGACTGTTGCATACAGCAGACAGTACATCATGAACACTACTCCCGACGACGAAGTCGAGAAGGAAAGCTGGTTGCAACTACAGAGGAGTCGCAACAGAGTCAACAGCCAAAGAACAAGAAATCGAGAGCGGGAACAAATCGAGGATCTGAATAACGAAAGGACATCTCTTTCGCTTGCCAATTCTGCGCTAAAGTATCAGAATCAGCACTTGCGTCAAGCGATTCGTGACATACGAAACCACATGTCGAGCATTCAAGCTGGATTTCAGAATGCTGCGTTGCATCCTCCAGTGATACCACCGGCAGTCATGGTGCCTTCTCACAATCCGATAGTTCCTGCTGTTTTTCAAAGTGGTGGAACAATGCAACCTCCAGGTATGATGCAACCTCCAGGAACGATAAGAACCCCCCCAACGGTTGCATCGCAGCTTCCAGCTTTGGAACAACAACTTATACAGCAGATACTTAGTCAGTTGCAAAAACCACGATGAAAACAATTATTTCAAAGCAGCAAAGAAACAAGCGGCGTCAGCAGTCGGCTGGAAACAGCTACCGGTAATACTACAAGTACCAGAAAATTGTAGTAGCACCTTAAAATAAAACTTTATTTATATTATACGATTGAAGAAAAAGTTTCAAGCAATATGATGAAGCAGAAAATTGGCAATCATTCGCATCACCACTTGCTTTTGGACTTCTTGGCTATCAGCATTATTTTGTTTGTAATTTTTTTCTTCTTGAATCATGCCATTGTTCCCATTTTATTCATATATTTTATTCCATTCAAGCTTCATAGGGGTTGTCAATGAACCCAACCCAACTATTTTTGGTTTATTTTTATTGACCAATAGAAGGGCAGTATTTTTCCCGATATTTGACCACCCCCTTTGAAGCCACGAACCAACTATTTTTTGGGAAAAGCCGGTAGTTTAGGGAGACGTACGATATCTCGTAGATATATTTGCCTACTTATTTTTCGTCGAAAAATAGCATGACCCAACTATTCTTTGTTTAAGTTTGGGCTACGTTTACTCAAAATTGAACTGTTCCACACGATAAATCTAAAACATTGGACAAGAATTGTAAATCTTTTATCCCGCGAATCAATTATCTCCGGGTCATTGAAGACCCAACTATAATATAGTTGGGTCTCTTTTCGGCACAACTATTTTTTTTTTTCTGACCCAAACCAACTATTTTTTTTTTTGGCTCGACCAATCACAGCTGCCCAAAAAAAAGAAAAAGAGTTGGGTTGGGTTCATTGACAACCCCTATTCTGCGACGCGAAAAGACGTCAGTGTTTATTCAGACGTCAGTGTTTGCCTCCGGCACGCGTCAGTTCTTGTGCGAATTTCAAAGAACCGTTGCCGCACGAAACGATATTTTGGGTGTACTTGTCGCTGTTCGGAGGAGTCACACACGGCACTGCACCGGTACCCTGGTACCACATCCAAAACCAGTCCAATACGGTATCACTCAACGTAAGAGAAAGAGTCTACTGCAACAAAGCAGAGCAGGAAACAACTTAATAATGTGCAACAGAAGAGATAGAGGTGGAGGCGAGTGCCTTCCTTCTGAATGGACTCTTTATTCGTCGTCCAGAAAACTGCTATTGAATCGATGCTACAATTATCTGGTATAACAACATTCATGCTTTCCTTACTTCATTGTGCACCAGATAATTGCAACAGCTTTTTAATTTAAAAGAAAGCTTACTAGTGGACGAATGAAGAAGAACGATGTATGATAATGTGCTTCACTACTTCTTGTCTATGGAAGATCTTAGACATCAGTGAAGCCATTCGAATTACAAGGTATTATACCTGTAGTCTCAATTCAAGTTGCCATGTCATCGGGGCGTTTCAGAAACAAGAAACAGAACGCGCTACGTTCACAAACGCTCCTGTGGTCAAAATTCGTTGTGTCAGTGCGTGTGCGCACTTCTGATGAGAAGTTTGAAAGAGTTAGATAAGTTACTTAGGGGTTCTGTATCCACGCAATGTGCGCTGGAAAACCGTTTCAACAACGAACGGATCTGATTGGCAGAGAATTTGGAAGAACAAACAGATTGAGGCCATCTGTTGCATTGTACGACCGAAATGGCACCCCTAGCAATCAAGCTTTCTCAAAGCAAGCTTTTGCCATTGAATAATTGCCATTGAATAATTGCTATTGACCATGAATATTGAAGACGAAGACATTGAAGACCAGCCGCAGTCGCTCGAACTGAAGCGACACCGTAGTCGGCTAAGCAGCAAGCGAACAAGAGAGAAGGAAAGATCAATAATGGAAGACTTGGAAAAAAAGCGCAGTCGACTATACATCTCGAACACTGCCCTAGAGTATCACAACAAAGATCTTCGGGAAGCAATTCAAAACATCAAGAATCTGACGTCGTATGCCTCATCTTCAACAAGTTCTGCATCGACTCCGGCGAGTGAGAATTCAAACTGTGGATTCCCACAACAGAACAACCATGAACAATACAACAACCAAATCGGGATCGCAGCAGCACCTCAGCAGCTGCAAAACAACCCAAACCCTGTATTACCACAACAGCAACTCCCGCAGATGGTTCCTCGAGCACTACCACCAAATTTGAACACATTTGTTGCTCAAACCAATCCACTTCTCCCTTCAGCAGCCGCTTTGGATGCTAGGATACTTCAATCACTCCAGCAGCAAGCGTCTCTGCAGAGTGCGTTGCAGCAGGCTGGAATGAACCGAGGGATGGTGGCTGGCTCAATACCTTTTCCCGTATCATCACAAGTTCAGCAACAGCCAGTAAATTTGGCCGCTGCTGTAGCCCTATTTCAACAACAGCAACAGCAGCAGCAGTTGCCACTGGAACAACAAGGCGCTCCTCGAGACGATGGCAGATCATACTGTGAGCAGAGGTAACTCGAGGGTATGATCTTTCTGCTTGTTACTACAATATAGGAATGACGAAAGGGCGAAGAATAGTCGGAACTACACTTCTGACTAGTCGGGCGGAGATGGTGGTGTCAGAATTCATATCGACGCCTTGAGGTATGTATAGTCTGACCCACTGGTATTCATTTGTTTGCCTATTATACCTAACACATTGATTCACTCACGATATAGATAACACTCTCAATGTGCCAATGTGATAAGTCTGTCGGAACAGCAAGGCAGTACCAAACTTTCAGAATGACAGGTGGCAAATGGAATAGATACATACGCCCATTAACAAATATTTTTGAGAATACTTTAGATGAATCCTTGTTTCCTTTCATAATGTTTGATTGATTGATTCATCTGATTTTAGTCCAGAAGTGCAATTTCATATGCATTGGTCGTGCCTTATTGCCTCACAATTCGGATTATTGCTCCGCATTTTGCTTGTTTTCCCGCAAGCGCATGTAACGTCGGTGTTTGGTCCAGGTATGGTACAGTTAGCATTGCTGATGTTGAATGCTCCCAAAAGATCGGCCAGCTTCAGAAGCAAGGAAGGAAGCAGTCCTCGATAACTTTGTGTTCTTCTTTCCGTGTGCATTCACTACGGCCATGTTTGTTCCAGCTACAGTATTGGTGATGCTGAATGAATGAATCGCATCACAGCATGTCTAAAGGCTAATCCAACTTACGCCATGTCTTGGACTTGGAGATTTATGTATGAGTATAGATGATCCGTAGCAGTGAGAGAAGTCCAAGCGTCCATTATTGCCGCACATGGGGCGTCTTTCAGCTCACGAACCGCATCCTATAAAGTGAATGATCATGGGACTGCAAGTCAATTGACGGACTGATGGATTCATCGATTCCTCACCTGCATGGTATTGATAGAACTGAAACGGACTTTCTGACATATGTAGTAGTGAGAGAAGCCGAAGCGTCCATTATTGCCGCAACTACATGGCGGGCCGTCTTTCAGGTCATGAACCGCATCCTAGATGAGTGAACGATCATGGAGATCGTCTCGAAGATCCCATGGTCTGAGTAGTAGCAGTCGTCTTAGTATCTCATGGTACCTTACTATGTAGAATAATACAAGTCACCGATGAAGTGAGACATGACGCATCATGGTGATGCATCTCTAGAAAAACTCTGGACACAAGTTCTTGTTGAAAGTGTGAAGCAAACGCGTGCGTTGGCGGTACGTGTACACGTGCATATCATACTAACTGTAGTTCCTACCAGCTTCAGTACTGGTAGTGGTCCATTACCTTGATAACACGGCTGACGTCACTTCCCCCAAGACCGCGTTATTCGGAGGGATCAAATCCAGTACCGGCTGCCAGTCGTGCGATAGGAGCGATGACAGGTAGGGGCGGGTCCATCCGTCCCACCTTCCGTTTTGCTCAAAAAGAGAAACCTCTACCAGAAAGAAACGGATGAAATGTCGTATGTAGAATCAAGTACCAACAACCATACCCCGCTGGTCTTGGTCCGAGAAGCAAATTTTTCGATTGATCGTCAGGCAGGCCAGTCACACGAAAACAAGCGAAAGTGTTCAAACGGAAAAGCGACTGGATTGGACCAAACCTGCGAAACTCAATACTCAAAACTGAAAACAAATAACCAAGACAAAAACCAAAACGTCCACACTTCTTGCTTCTTCTTCATTTTCATTTATTCGAAGAAAGAAGCAAGCAGACAACAAACTTCAGGTCATCTTCTACCGTATTCCATCTATCCAAAAAACAAACAGGCAAACAATAGCAAACTCCTGAACCTCAAACTACAGCAGCATCAGCATCAGCATCAGCATCAGCATCAGCATCAACAGCACTCTAATACAGTCAGTCCATCCAAATGTTTCCCTACAAGGAAGAATCCATGTCCACCATGCAACAAATCAAGTCATCTCGCGAATCCTTTCGCAAGGGACAACAACTGTATATGGAAGCCAATTACGAGGACAGTTTGGAAGCCTTTTCTCGTGCCGTCCAACTCCAAGAAGTCGTCTTTGGAAAGTACCACAAGGAAACCATACAGTCGTACTTGGAACAGGGCAAGGCGGCTCTCAAAACTGGGGATACTCAGAAGGCACTCAAGTCCTTTCAACGGGCGACCCGCATGGCTAATGTGTCCTTTCAGAACAAGGCTCTGAATCGCGACATGTGGAAGCAAATTGAGACTTGCTGGTACTCTGTCCATCCCGAGACGGATGTCTCTTTGGGAATCTTGTCGGAGATTTATGCCTTGGAAGAGTTGGGAGACAAGGCTGTGAAGCGGCACCAATACATCAAGGCGATTGAACATTATTGCGGCGCCTTGTCATTGCAAGATAAGTTGGTGGGAAAGGATTCGTTGGATGGGGCAGACATTCGATACAAGTTGGGATCGGCTTTGCACAAGACATCGGCAATGCCACAAGCCCAAGAAACACTACAATTGGCCTACAAGTGTTATGTGGACCAAGTCGGAAAGGACCACCCTGCGACGATGGGATGCATTTCCAAGATTCAGACCATTTCTGCGTCATAGCAGCAGCATACTAGCGTCAGTCGTTGAAGACGCTACTGTACGACATGTATCTATCTACCAAGATCCCAGGATGAAATGAAATGAAACAAAGTTGGTTTCGAGACGACTTTTTGCTACACTAAAATCATTAAAGTATGTGCTGGGCACTGCTTCTCATCATTGTCATCAAACAAAGGCAATAATTGTGCATCTGTCACCAAACTGAAATGTCAGTACACATTGTCTATAGTGCAAGATAGGATGTCACGTTTCATTGAAATAAAGTTACTACTATAATAAGAATAATAGTGGACAAGGCAAGGCAAGTCAGTCGTATACTAGTCTTCTACAGTATAGTACTATCACGGAGTAGTGTGCGATCATATCCTTCTTTTACTCGGAAGCTTTTGGAGGAGTTTGCTTCCATATTGCTGCAAGGCACACGAGAGCCCGTTTGCTTCGCACCCTTTGAGTGAGAGACGTTCATTCGTGGTCAGTAACCGCCAATGCTACATACGATACTATACAATACTCTCTTGTTGGATTTCAGAGTTTGAAGTTGGAGTTGTCCCGGTCTGAAATTTTGGGGGCGGGGACAGGCGATACCGTATCTTTGGCGAGTATGCAACCCCAACCAAGACCTTTTTTGCACATCTTCTCACCTTCTGCCCGAAGAAGTCTCGCCAATCCCGAGTTTAGGTCGCAAAAGATTGATTTTGTACTTAGTGGAGAGGTGAACTATTATGCCCAAGACTCTAAGTAACTTTAGCTCCACACCACCGTCGTTTTTAGTAATCGTGTTTTCAAATAAATTCGTCATACCGGTACGGTAGAAACCAATTCACCAAAACTGCTCAGAAGACGGAAGTGCGGTCCAGTAAGTGGTCAGAGAAGGGAAAGAAGTTCATTCGCAGCAAATTTGCAACCCTCTATTCATCTATCTATGCAGTATAGATTGTCTTTCAATACAACAAACATACATACACAATACATACAAACAACGACAACATCATGTTGAAGAAACTGAGATCATCCTTTTCCAAATCCTCCTCTACAGTAGGAGGATCCACGAAATCACTCACATCGGCACCGACTCCCATTTCCAGCACCCCAACTCCCACATCTTCTATTTCTATATCCAAACAGCTGAACCGAGCACGATCACTGTACAACGAGGGAAAGCAATCCTATGATGAGGAAAATTACGAGAACTCCTTTCAATCCTTACGAGAAGCCGCTCAGATTCAAGAACTGTCCCTGGGAAAATATCATAAGGAAACCATACAGTCCTACTGGCAATTGGGACGAGCGGCTTGCAAGTGCGCCGAACCTATGGATGCCAACAACAGCAGTATTAAATCAAAGCGACACACCGTCCTGCAGGCCTTTCAACGAGCAGCCCGCATGGCCGAAGGAACCTTTAGTGAAACAGAATACACGTCGATGTTGCAAGATATGAAGGAGTGTTATCAAGAAGCCACATTTGAAGATTTGGTGGTGGTGGCACCGATCTGCACGAGTGGAAGTGTCAGTGGCGGCAGTGATAATCAAAGCGTCAGCTCTGGTATCAGTCACCGAAGTAGTGCCAGTCACCGTAGTAGTTCCAGTCACCGAAGTAATAGTGACGAGAATGCCTATCGAAAGGTACACAATGATCCCATGAAGCACATGCTCAAGGTATTGGAGCTGGAAAAAAGTGGAGATGGTTACGTCAAGAAGAAGAATTACCGCAAGGCATCGACTATTTATGGTCAAGCTTTGCAGCTTCAAGATGTTTTGGTCGGAGAAGATAGTTTGGATGGTGCAGACATTCGATGCAAACTGGCACTCTGTTTCATGCACACGAATTGCCAACCACAGGCCCGACGAGCCCTGCAAATGGCCTACACGTGCTTTGTGGCGAACGTTGGCACAGAACACCCTGCCACTTTGGGTGCCGTTGCTAGGATGAAGAAGATTGCCATGTCCAGTGGGACTGCTTTTTCGACCAAGTCCATGTCAATAGTGTCGGTGACCTCGGTCACGTCCTCCGTGAGTGGGTTTTGAAAAAAAGTCTAATGATCGATGAATGATTCATGGATTGCCAACATTCGACACTTGATGAGGCACTGCACATAAGCGTAATCTACTAGTGTACAATATAATAATTGATTACAGATTTACATCCATGATGATGTTATAACTGAAGTCGCATGAATCTTCTTGATTCTGAATGTCAAGAGATTACTATAGCTATTATTATGCAGCCAGGCTTGAGCAGCTGCAAGGAGCGCAATTGTTTGACTGCACAAAGCTAGATGTAGCGATATACTGCAGCTGAAAACAGAGATTCCACAAAAGAACACGGGTGATCGATTTGCTGGACCTTTGCTCTGTGTGCGCTGAGGCATTCTGAGTCTTTTTCTTTCGTGCACCTTTTGATGTTGCAATACCAAAGGTGCTAGCATTCCAAAAGGATTCGTCGTTTACAACTTTGACATCGCTGGCGAAATGGGACGGAGTTGTTGACTAAATCTCTTCCCATTGTTCACGTAGTATGCTGCAGATGCTTCCAACGCTTGGGCTTGTTCGTCGGTGAGCTTTCGAACAATTTTCCCTGGTAAACCAACCACTAACGAGTTATCAGGAATCACTTTCCGCTCTGGAATCAATGTATTTGCTCCAATAATACAGTTCTTGCCAATCTTGGTCCCATTCAATATGGTGGCATTCATACCAATCAGAGTATTGTCCCCGATACTGCACCCATGTAGCATGGCCTTGTGACCAACCGTGACACCCTTGCCAATGGTCAATGGATAGTTCGCATCGTGATGCAAGACGGCGCATTCTTGAATGTTGGTACGTGCACCAATGTGAATGGGCTGATTCGCAATGTCACCACGGATGACCACTCCAAACCAAACACTAACGTCTGGTTCCAGAATCACATTACCAATCACTGCTGCATTAGGAGCAATCCATACTGTTTCGGTATCATCACTACTACTGTTGGGAGTCTTTGGAACTAGGTTCCCCAATGCATACATGCCAGACATGGTGATAAGAGGGATGTATGTTTTATTGTTTGTGTTTTATCAATCATTGACCTGTGAGGTACTGACGTAGTCGTCGTGCAAATCAGTGATGAAAAAATGCTGCATCTCAATCATTTTAAGTTTTATTTATTGTGGACGGTGAACGCACAATCAATGAAACAAAGCAACAGGCGCTTGTCGAACAATTTACAAATGCACTAGTCACAACCATCACAAAAGCCAACAGACTACAATGCCGTTACGGATAGACAAGAAGGGTACTGAAGAGTCATCTCAAAATGAAAAAGCAAAGAGTCGTTTGGTTCTTCGGGTTTGCTTGGTAATCCTGTTCCTTGCCATTCTCCACATTGGCTCCGAGCAGACAGGATTGAGTGAGTGAAGTGATGCAGGCGAATCTTGATTGAGAAACATGCACTAAAAATTTAACCCAATATCCTTTCTTTATTCAATCCTCGACTGACTGACTCTACACCATGACAGAAGGCTTCAGGGGAAATGCCCTTTTTCCAGCGTCCACCAGCTCGGCCCTGGTGTGGAAATCATCGTCGTCATCATCATCATCATCATCACAGCAGAAAGAAGTTATTTTGGATCTGGTGGACGACGAACAGGAATATATCAAGTGGCTAGTGGAAGAACGAGAAAAGGTCTCCAATGTCACAGAGATCAAAACACCCATCAAGGTGTTGTACCGAGCCATGGCGGGATTGGGCCATCAGCTGCTTCGATTGTCGTCTGCCTACCATTTATTGACCATTTACCAAATTCCCTTGATTTGGCCCACCGCCAATCCAGTGTGCGGAGGTACAATATTTACAATTTACGAACATCTGATAGGAAAAGGTCCCCTGTTTGTGGACCTACCATACTTGAAAGAAAAGAATTCGTACCACATGGAGATTATTGCCCTGCCCTTGCGATTCCCAAAGCTGGAATTTGTGAATGAGACGGAACTTTCTGAAGAAGAGAGACAAGAACTCGTGCGGGGGATCAACCTCAACAATGAGATTCCGGGGTATTCACATGCGGTTGGGGATGTATGGGATATGGACCTTCCTCGGTTCCAGGAGATGGACTTTTACAACAAGTTCCAGACCGACTATCAAATGTATCATCAGTTAATGTTACTGTTCGAACACAAGCATCGGACAAAGATTAACGAAATCCATGAGAAAACACGATTTTCGAGTCACACTGTGTTTGCTTTGCACATTCGGACTGGAAATGGAGAAACGGGCGATTTTGAGAAAAAGAGCCGAGGGATTAAAAACCTCGAGCAATGGACGGAGACTGTCATTGAACTTCTTTGTGACTATCGAGAAAGGAATTCCCCTCTGTTTGACAAAAAGCCGCTAATGATCTTTGTGGGTACCGATACCGGTTCGATCGTTCCAAAGCTACAGAACATATCGTCGACTTTGTGCCAGATTCCAATTGTTTCGGCTGACCAAGCCTATCCAGAAGAGGGAAAGAGTGTTTCATTCCTCCAAAAATACGACAATGATGAAAAGTGCCTCCAAGGATGGGAGAACATGTTTATGGACATGTACTTTTTCACAAAAGCCAACACTGTTGTAACCGGTTCGTATTCTTCCTTTACGCAAGCGGCACCAATGTCCTTTGTGATGCACCGTGCCAAGAAAAATGGCATGTTGAACGATAATTCTCATCCTCACTTATTTTGTGAGCTGAATCGTTATGGCAATCGCATGGACTGCTTTCAAGATTTCGAAAATTGGTTGCGACGAAATGCGGTGAAATACTTCGGAAACATGTCGTCTCCCGAACAACGAATAAGACAGGAGCTGCCGTTCCCAAATTGGAGGATAAAATCCATCAGCATCAACAAGCTATTTGCCAAAACGTTATTACGAGAACCTGCCGATTCGAAGAAACCGTCCTCGTCATCGACTAACAGAATGACGTTCCAAGAGTGGATGGCTCTGAATGAAATTGCAACCACCAATAACACCAAGAACAACATGAAGAAAAAGAAGAATGCTTGACTTGGAAAAATAAATTCGTGCAATGTCCAATTTGCAGCGGGGTCATGGGGATGGCTCATGTATCGACCACCATTGTGGCATTGTAGTAGTCGGCCACGATGGGTCGTGCCACTGCGGCTAATGAAAATAGTGGTACCACCAGCCCAGCAATCCACATATCTTTTAAATATAAAAACCAATACCTTAGGTAAAGAAAGGTGATATAACATTTGATGTGATTGCCACTCGACTTCGCCAAATTGCCATGTTCCACAAATAAGCTATCGTGGTTTTTCATGGTTTAGTAGTATCTTTTGATGCTTATCAATGGATATCAACGGTCTGCATTGGATCTTGCACGAAGGCTGGCGCGCTTGACAAGACAAGATTCAATGCGTGTCATCGCCAATTGGCTGCCGTTTCTGCGAAAAATGCGGGATTGTGTGGCAACAATACCGTGTTGCGGTTTCTCCGCCGATCTTTGGACTTTCACATCATTGGATCTCATAATTTCTCAAGAGGAGGAGAAGAAGCAAAGTCAACATGCCACCCAAGCACCATCACGATCACGATCATGGCCCAGGAGGCCGAGGCCGAGGACGCGGACACGGACCTGACCATGGACCTGGCCGCGGCCGAGGACGTGGACGTGGACACCATGATCACCACGACCATCATCATGATCACCACCATCCTCCTCATCACGACGAACAACAAGCAGCTGCTGCCGCTGGCGGAGGAACTACTACCCATACTGCACATGCCTATGCCAAGCCTGAAGACCAACCTGAAGAGGCGGGAGGCATGTCCACCGCTGGCAAGGTCGGTCTTGGTCTTGGTGTTGCCGGTTTGGCCGCTGGTGGTATGTACGCTGCCAACCAGTACATGAAGAAAAAGAAGGAGGGTCAGAAGGTCAAAACGGAAGGCGATGATGATGAAACCGCAACTGCTGTTACTACCCAAGAGTAAAAGAAAAGATGTTTATGGTATGCTAAAAGGAATGCCGATGAATGACTTGCACTCCTTTGCAATGAAATATATTGCATTCTTCCTCTCTCTAGACTCTTTCAAATTTTAGAACCATTTCTTGAATGCATTTCGTTTTTATTTTCTGCGATTATATTCTAGACTTTTCACCGTAATTCACCAACGCATAGTAGCTAATCCTTCAGAAATTCTATCCGGCACAGTGGACACTTGTCGTTGCCCCTTTTGAACCATTCGTATATGCATCCCTCATGGAACACATGGTCGCATCGTTCCGTAACTGGGGCGCATATCGTCTCTCCAGGTATATAGCACTCCAAGCAAATGCAACACTCGTCTTTGACTGCAGGTTGTTTTCTCCAAGTACTAGTAGGCAGGCGCAGTGGGTTTTCGCCGAGGTGTCTTGAGCGTTCAGGTACTACTAGTTCATCATCGTCATTATCAGCAACTTCAGTCTTGCTTTCTTCGTCATGGGAATTCTCCTCATCTTGTTGCTTCAAAGATGCTGACTTGTTATTCCTCACCCCATCAACGGTAATGTTGGATTTATCCGGCAAGACTTCTTGGAAATGGAATCCAGAAGCAAACAGCTCGTATCGGGCATTGTTCCGTTCCTCCTCCGTCAACCCTTGATTGTCATTGTTTTCACGCTGCTGTTGTCGCCGTGCCATCATGGTTTGTCTCGTCGTTCGCAGTTCCATGGTCCGCATCGCCTTTAAGGAAATAAGAATTCCGGAGACAAAGGCTAGACCTGTCAGCACTTGCGAGTAGAAGCTTTTGGTGTCTTCTGGAATGGCTGGGCAGTCATTTGTTAAAGAAGAACATTTACAACAGTAATCCTTCGCAAACCCAAGGTTTCCCTTGGAGCAACATTCGACTCGAGCATCATCGCATCTTAGCTCTTCGGTTTCGCGAGCCCAAAAGACCATGTACTCATAGTCTAGCCACCAATCTGGATCATTGGTGCAGATATTATCTTGACTAGTGGAGTCCCGTATGGATGGCGGCAGTGACTGCGAGTCGATGGTTGTGGCAATTGGGGCAGCAGACGGGTACGTGCTTGGGCCATCGACTAAAGTTGCTGGATGTTCCGTGAAACTCACAATTGTCGGGAACGAACTTGGTTGATTTGAGCTACGGCTGACTCTATCACCAAGATCATCTGCATTGGATATTGGACAGGCGACAAGGTAAATGAGCAAGAGAAAGGAAGAAGATTTCAGGGGAAGATTCATCATCGTTGATGTCTGACGTTTGATGCTTTGTAATTTTCGGAGGCAGATGCGAATTCGAACAATTTGGATTCATTTCCCTTTTCTCCATTCTCCATGGATTACAAATTTGACTCCTCTGACTTGAATCCAAAGCTTCTGTTGTTTGCAGAGAGCGACCCAATGGGTGGGCTGGATGAATGGATCTAATCGGAAGGGACATCATCCATGGTGTTTTCCGTGGTCTTGCGAGGTGCAGTCTCCGGCGACTCCTAGATCATCACCACCACTATATCCATTGGATCAGAACAACGCATCATCTATTCATTCTCATAGTGTACATCATGCCATGATGACGCTCATTGGCAGATCGGACAAACAATTAAGGATTACAACAAATGACAAAATGACGAGAACAATCAGATTGAACTTTATCAAATACCGCGCCTGACTATTCAGGTCTAGATATTATATAGAAAGTAAGCCTGAATCCATGCTGTTTTGGTGAGGAGTACATTATTAGTGTTCAAGGCTGCGGTATGTATGATCCGCAGCGTCATCATCAACAGTTGTCAAAATGTCCTCTTTTTCAAATTTCGAATCGCAGTCGTCGAATTGTGGTTGTGGGATGCGTATCGTATTGGAAAATCTGGGATATTCCGCATTTTGGTGTGAATCTGAACTGGAATCGGGGCCTGACCGGCTTGCTCACTCCTTCTGCACGGGGATCTGTGATCCGACATCATCACTGCTCGTGGAATTCATTCTTGGTCGGTGATCGTCGCGTTTTGGTCGTAGTTCGTTAAATTTTCTGTGAATTTTTCACAGATGTTCCGAAATCTCTGTGAATGACCAACAGATGTTCCGAAATCTCTGTGAATTTTTCACAGGTTTTTTAAGGGTCTTCACAGATGTTCCGAAATTGCCGTGAAGTTTCAACAGAGGTTCAGCTGACATGCGTGCACGCATGCCCTTTCGTAAAAGCACCATACAACTTCCGTAGAGGAAAAAACGGTTAATGTTGTGCGCAAGCAATGCTTGGTCGTCTGGGTCCAAAATTCTGTGAATTTTTCACAGATGTTCCGAAATCTCTGTGAATTTTTCACAGATGTTCCGAAACTTCTGTGAATTTTTCACAGGTTTTTTTAGGGTCTTCACAGATGTTCCGAAATGTCGAAATTGTGGCGAATGGTGGGTTCAGCTAGGAATATGACATTTATGGCTGCACTATGTAAAACTAGTCGTAGACTTTTTTCCACGGTCGTCTGAGTCAAAAAGTCTGTAAATTTTCTATCGTCTGAGTCAAAAATTCTGTGAATTTTTCACAGATGTTCCGAAATCTCTGTGAATTTTTCACAGATGTTCCGAAACAAACAATTTGATGCGTCATCGATTTGCACAACAATGACTGCGGAAAGAGATTGCTGTTAGAAAAACGTTATTGCTGTAGAAAAACCAGAGTCACACATTGTAGGCAAAGTCACACAGCGCAGGTACGTAAAAAGGTATGGATCTAGTTTATTCATGATAAATTTTCTTCCTGGACCATAGTTCTTTTGTTTGTACTCTTTCTCCGACCAGCTGATCACCTTTGCTTCCAGTGCCCAAAGAACTTTCACCCAGTGCCATAGGTTGTCGTCTTGGTCCCGTTGTGTGCTTATCCCAGAAGCTGAGGCAAGGGAGTTGATTGCAACTAGCAATCGCTTAAGCCCCTCCTTGCTCCTGTCAGATGGGCGGAGCCCCAAGTCTTTGTTCGTACAATTCAAAATGTCTTGCCAGAGAATGAATAGAGTGCTGGGGCGTTGGCCAAAATGAGCCTTGAAAACTCCAATATTATGCTCCTTGAAGTTGTCATCAGTAATTGTGGTAGGTGAACCCCCAATCATTTCAAATCCGTAGATCAGCACCTGTTCTGGTGTCACTTCGATTCCAAGCATCATCCTGAAAGATTCTGAAACTCTCTTCGCGTTTTCTCTTCAAAATCTCAAGCAAGCGTGACCAAATTTGAAAAAAACGGTTAAGTTGGCACCGTCTTCTGAGTTGAATTTTCTATCGCCTGAGTCAAAAATTCTGTGAATTTTCTATCGTCTGAGTCAAAAATTCTGTGAATTTTTCACAGATGTTCCGAAATCTCTGTGAATTTTTCACAGATGTTCCGAAACTTCTGTGAAAAATTTACAGGTTTTTTTGGGGTCATTACAGATGTTCCGCAATTGCTGTAAAAATAAAACAAACTTTAAAATTAAATCTGGCGAATGAAGTTGAATACTTAACGGCATTGTGAACATTTATAAAATTCCTTGTCGTAGAAGTTTCTTTCTGGCAGGCAATAAGTGAAAGTCGATTTTTGAAGTTTCGTGCAGAAGAGGGTGAAAATGACCACATCGACTCTCCAAAAAAAGAAAAAAGCTGGCTTCACAGAAAACTGCGGGATATCCCTGAACGGAGACTTCTAGTCTCATGTTTTCAACCTAGTAGTACGTACTACTAGTAGTAGTACCTAGGAGCAAAGGTTTCGATGAATCGTGCAAACACCTATTTCATGGCAAGTCCTGTCCATTTTCATGCTAAGCATGACAATATAGGTTCGGGTTACCTGCAAAAAATTTGGTGAGGATGGGGAAGCAATATTAGTAGCTGTGTCTTGGATACCTACCACCGGTAGAATGCTCGATGTCGAACGTTGAAAACTGGACGCTTCTATTTACAAACGCAGGCCAAACTCCAACCGATGCGTAAATACACGTGGTTTAGCTCGTGGTTCTTAAATAGGACGGTCGTGCGAGACATCGGTACGACATCTTGCATAATGTTTTACCCTATCAATTCGTCGAGGTGCTCAAGGCGCACCATCTTGGGTCCGTTTGATCTGGTATCATGGGCGAACAACCCAATGTATGAGAAAGAGGTGCAACTAAATTCCCAGCTTCCTTACTGTACTGAATTTGTGTGTGCGTGTGTGTTGACCCCCCATTGCCACAGCAAACTTCACCATCTCTCTCTCTCAACAATAGCAAGATGGTGTACAATCCAGTATACCCTCAGCCCTTCAAACGAAGAATGGTAGCCGCTAGTAGTAGTCTTCTAGCCATAGTCGCACTTTCGTCAATAGCTTCCACGACTGGTGCTCCAGTGGTGGAGACTCCACTCTTTGGCTTCCAAACAGGCCCACTGGAAGGCCCACTCTATGCTGGAGAACTCTTTTATGATGATTCTACCGATAAAATCTATATTTCTGGAGAGATTTACCAGGCAAATTCTCAAGCACCCGAGTCCGAATGTCTCCTGATGACCTTTGATCGCAATACGCTGGACCTGATCAAGTCCAAAGCGTATGGCAATCCCAATACTCTGGATTTCTGTTCTTCCATGACTCTTTCCAGCGATAATCATCTGATGGTGGTAGGAAACTCGGCACCCGGCGGATGGTCAGATCAATTCAAATTGACCAACACAAACGGAAGCAACAAGTTGAATGGATTCATGGCCGTCTTGAACAAGGACGACTTATCGGCTGTTTCCTCCACTCACAGCGGATTGATGATGGAAACAGCTGACCTAAATACCAACATTCCGTATCCACGAGATATCTTATCAGATGACAATGGAAACGTTTGGGTTGTCTCCTTGACCAGTACCGATTCTAATGCAAACCCTTCCGAGAGTGCTTTTGCCGATTGGTTGACCGAAGATATTCAATACGGATCTTCTACCTATATGACTATTACCAAGTTTAGTTACGGAACCAGTGCCGGTCATTCCATTTCAGGCATTTCAACCGGCAGTAATCATCTCAGTATGGATTTTACCAAAGAATACCCAGTCGATACACCATCGGATGGGACTGTTCCACCCCGCGTCTTTGTGGGTGGCCTCTTGCTCAAGGATATTGCTCCCGTCACTGTGAATGCAGCGGCTTCTACCGAGGACAAAGAAACGGAATTTCTGGTCGTTGCCGGTTCGACTCGGGGCAAGGGAACTGGTTATGGACAATCCCAAGGAACAGACGAAGATGGATTTCTGACCTTGATTGACAAGACTACTGGCAATTTGCTAGACCTGACTAGCCCAGTCGCCGTGGCCGCGGGTATTACTACCAACAATGCCCGGATTGGGACCTATGCCGATGATATCATTACGGGACTTTGTAACGACCCCAACGATCCTGATTCCTTCTTCATTGTCGGTGCCACACAAGCCCGATTCGGCGACGCCCTCCAAGATGATGCTGGACCCAATATTCCCGAAACTAGTCTTCGTGGGTTCATCAGCAAGATTAGTTTGACCGATCTCAAGGCCAAGTGGACTCGCCATTTCAAGGCTGTCCAACCAAATCCATCGCAAGTTTCGGAAGTCTATGCCATGGACTGTTTGGTCGATGATGATCAAATCTTTGTCAGTGGTAATGTCGAATCTGGAGGCAGTGTTTACGATGTTTCCAAAGACCGACAACTTCCTGCCAAGGGAGGCTCCGACATGTGGTTTGCCGCCATGGATCTGTTTACCCTTGAAGTAGATTGGGTGCGACAGATTGGAACTGTCAAGGATGATCGATTGGCCGAGCATGGCAGTATGGATATGACGGAGGATTTGCTGATGGTATTGGGTGAAACCAATGGAAACTTTTATCGCGAGCGTGCTGCCGACGAGAAGGATGCCAGTACGGATATTGTGCTGATTGCCCTTGGCACGGATACCGGACGTCACAAACATCCCATTGGACAAAAGGGTGACCAAATTATTAAGGCTCCCGATGAAGAGGACGAAGACGATGATTGGAACAACGCTGATGATGACGATGACAGCGTTGTTGGTCAAATCAAGTGGGAACCACGAGGAGCTCAATTGAAGGGTCCTTTGTACGCAGGTGGTATGGTGTACGATTCGGAAAAGCACATGGTCGAATTCACAGGAGGTTCGTACCTGGAGGAAAATAACAAGTCCATGTGCTTCACTGGAACATGGGACTTGACTACTGGTCAAGTGAACAAGATTTATCTCGCTGGGACTGACTTTTCGGAAGAAGCCTGTAATGCCATTGCTTGGAGTCCTACCGATAACCTCGCCTATTCGGTTGGTTTCACGGAATCAACCGATCAAGGATTCTTTGACTACATGACCGCCGGTGCTGATAGGGCTGATAATGTCAAGGTGATGGGAACCATTCTGCAAACCAATGCGAATGGACGACCCGTCGGAGGTGGTATAATCGACCAAGAAGTTGTTCAATATCCAGTTGCCGCGGTGACTCATCCTACAGAAGATTACATTTTTGTGGCCAGCAGTGCGTCTACCAACTCGACGGAACATGGTAACATGCCCGCTGCAGTGGCCCATCCAGATTTGACCACGGGTGGCACTCGCCGCTTTGGCGACAAGTTCTTTGTCGGTGTATCGAGGTATCAAGTTATCCAAAAGCCCAAGACCCCAGCCGAACCGTTGTCTCAGACTTTGGAAGAAAGCTGGTACAAAGCCTACAATGTTGGAGATCATGCTGGAGTCGCAGTGACTGGAATGGCCATGGCTGGAGCGGGGGCCAACACTTTAGTTGCCGTTGGTAGTACCAAGGGTTCTGGTTTGCTATTTGGCAAGAACACTGGAGATGACTTTGATGGATTCGTGCTCAAGATTAATCCTGAAAATGGAGAAGGCCTTACCTTCCAACCAGAGGACAAGGCTTCGACACGAGTCGATTCGAGCGACCACAAGGATGACTGGATCAATAACATTTGTGTCGACAAGTTCAATCCCGACTTTATATACATTGTGGGTGGGACCAAGGGCAAGATTCGCTCATTGGACGACGAGCACCAACTTCCAGAAGGAGACATTCACGCATGGATTGCCAAGATGTCCTTGGATACTCTTGATGTAACATGGGTTAAGCACTTTACCATGCAGGCCGGTCCTGGAGCAACCATTGCCGAAGCCTCTGCTTTTGCGTGTTCTATAGCCCCCGGAGAAGATACCAATAGTGTGGTTTATATTGCAGGAACTATTCTTGGAGGTGCTGTTATGGATAACGCTATCGAAGGACAATCTGGAGGTGGTGACGATATGTTCATCATTCAAATGGATGACGATGGTCAAACTGTGAACTGGATCCGCCAGGTTGGTACTGCTGATGATGATCGTTTGGCTGCCAGTGGCGGCCTTGACATTGATGCAGAGGGTAATGCCATCTTGTACGGAGAGACGACTGGAGCCTTTTATAGTACGACTGCCAGTGGAACAAATGACATAGTTGCTTTCACCATGCAAAAGAAGGATGGTGCCTATTATGGACTTGGAACCGGAGCACCTCCCATTACTATCGGAAGTGGTGGCACTACAGTTCCACCACCAGTTGACCTCGACGGAGATGGCATGGAAGATGTCAAGGTTGTTGATCCCAATGAGAAGAGTGACGACGACCACTTGGATGACGATGCGCATGGTAATGATGACGACAACATTGTCCCTGACAATATTCTTGCTGTCCAAACTGGACCAGACTCTGGGCCTACGTACGCTGGTGGTATGGCGTATGACGAGTGGACCAATTCAATTTACTTGACGGGAGCTACCTACGGTTCGTTCACCAAACCTGGATCCGACAAACGGGATTCGTCTTACTGCTTCTTTGGAGTAATGACTCTTCCATCCTTGGAATGGAAAGATCGTGAAACCTTTGGCACCAATTCTGCCGTGGAAGCTTGCAGTGCCCTTGCTTTGACAAAGAATGATAATAAATCTGGGGTGGCTATTGCTGGTTCCACCGAGGCGAACGGATTACTGACTTCGCAATCTGAAAAGACCGATACTCAATACGAAATGCTTCTTGACCTATTGGATGTAAATGATGCTTACGGACTGGTCGGAGGACAAGCCGTCGATGACGAAGTGATTCAATTCCCAGCTGCCATTGTTAGTAGTGGTGATACAATATATGTTGCATCCATGTTCTCGACTGATGAGAGAATCACTGCAGACTACGATAAAGCGTCACAAGAATACCCTAATTTCACTACTGGTGGTATTGAAAAGTACGGTTCGCAATATGGTGTTGCTGTGGAACAATTCAAGATCCAGCGTGAGGATACTACATTAGGAAGCGGGATCATGCAAAAGTCTTTCGTTCGCCAATGGAGAAGGCCATTTGAAACGACTGCAATGTCATCAGTCTTTGTCTCTGGAATGATCGCTGTCGGAAACGAATTGATCGTCGTTGGAAGTACCCGTGCGTCACCAAAGGGTAACGACATGGATGGCATCATGGCTCGAGTGAATACCGCAGATGGCAACTTTGTCGGTACTTTGGAAGGAGACAACTCTGTGGCCTACTTTGAATCTGCGGATGGAGCCGATGACTGGATCATGAATGCCTGTGCGGACTCGGAATCCGCCCATGATCACTTTTACGTTGTCGGTGCAACAGCCAGCAAAGCACAAGATGCAAACACCATCAATGCCATGATTGCCAAGATCAGTCTGGATAATCTGACCCCAATTTGGACCAAGGAACTTGAAGTCTTGCATGCTTCGGGAGATATCACCAAGCACGCTGCCGCTGTTGGCCTTGGATGTGATGTCATTCCTGGAAATCATGGAATATACATTGCCGGAACCGTTGAAAATGGGGCTCGATTGAACTACCCAAGCACCCAATCCGCAGGCAGAGATGATATCTTTGTTGCCAAGATCGACCCCACTGATGGTCGCACCATTTGGTTGGATCAATTTGGATCAAATGGCGACGATCGCTTGGCCCGAGCTGGAGGAGTCAAGGTTAATCAGAATGGAAATGCCGTCGTATATGGAGACACCAATGGTGACTTTTACCGATGGAATCCAGAACACAGCCGTGATCTCTTTGTCGTAGTGATGGACCAAAAATCAGGAGCCTTCCAAAAGCCACTAGTTGGAGCTACTTGGCCACCAGACACTTCGGCTCCAAGGGAATGGTTTGGAGTCATCAACTTGGAAGGAAACACCAATACCATAGCCATTGTCGTTTCCCTTTTGGTGATTCTCTGTGTAGTAATTGGGGTTCTGTGCCTCCGAAACAAGAAGAAAAAATCCGAGTCCCAAAAGACTTCTATCTTTGCTTACCTACAACGGTTCGACGTCGAAGACATTGATCTTCGTAGGTCACCGCCGGGAGGATGGCATGGAACCTACCTGAACAAGCTGGCCTATGGCATCAATGGAGCCGAGAGTGGCTCTCGGGATCATCTTAATCACAGCTATGACGAATCACGGCCGTTGACGCATTCAAGTGTTGTTTCGGATTCACTATTTATGGATCAGGACATTGATACGCCAGCAAGCTATGACAACTTGCAAAGGCACTACAGGGATGGAAGTGAAAGCAGACCCGGGATGGAAATCATCTAAAGGGGATTTTTCATGATCGTCATCCTTGACGATTGAGTCCAGGTGTTCTGGTTTGATGCACAGTTAGAGCATTTAATAACCTTATCTAAGTTTGTAGTATTAGCATAACGTTTGTAATAGTACAAGTAAAAGCATACTAGGTCGTAAGTTGGGAAGTATAAGCTTGTGCGTTGCCCGTTTTGGCAACCCAAAAAGTGGAATTTACTAGCGATTCCCCCTTTTAGACCTTGCACGGACCGTTCTACATTCTAATTTTGCACACACCGATTACTGTTTTTCATCGAGTTACATAGTGTATTTGGATCTACGGTGGGCAATTCCAGCAAAGCGTATTATGCGGTGGACTGTGTTTTTCTTCGTAGTTTTTGTGTAGTCAGAGTGGTCGATTTTGGAAATTCTCTGGAGAGAGAGAGCGCAAAAATTCAACTTTTTGGGGGTAGGTTGCCAAAACGGCGGGCTTCCGGTCGACCTTCTCCGTTTCTGGACCGTATTCTTGGAACGTTTTTCCAAAAGACGTACCGTACACGTGTACCAGGTACAATTAATGCAATTTGAAACGCAGAAAAAGCTGAAACTTTTCAGAAAACTTCCCATTTATAGGTTCGCCACGCATTGGAAGAACTGATATTTCCTCCTTAATTGAAACGGTACTGAGAGCCCAACCGCCTAATCATGGACCATCGCCTCTTTTGGATCTGTACCATCTGCGACCCTTCGATTTCTAAGAATTCACCTTCAGTGATTCTGGGGAGCACTATTGCACTACGTACACCTGTACTAGAACTAATCACCCCCTACCACAAGTGTGAATGATACATACTGGCGCATCACATTACTTTAAGGATTAGAGAAAACGAAAATTGAATCTCAATCGTTTTTAACACAAGACAGCCAATTAAGGCAATACTTTCTTCACGTGTAGCATTTATAACGCGAAGAAAAGTGCCAAGCTGATGTGTGAGTGCTAATTCACCTCTGCTTATAGGGACGACAAACCAAGGTCATGCACCACTCACACATCATCCATCATATCTTCTCTTCTGCGGACGCACCCAACTCTTCTCACACAAAAAGCAAACTGCCACATAGCAAACCACCAACTAAAGAACACAAAAACTTGAATAATACAGGATGAATCGCTCTTCCAGTACCAACTCCACAATCCAAGCCGTCGATCTCAACTTTGACAGTGCTGTTAGCAAGTTTGCTCCAAAATCCAAGCAATGCTTGCCGGAGTCCTTCCAACCACTTGCAGACTCGGTCATTATCGGCAAAGGTAAAATGCCAGCACAAGCATCTGGGAACAGGAGACTTCGTGAGCTAGTGGATGTCCATCTACAAAACTATGCCAATGCCAAGTACAAGCGAGACAAGACCTTCATTGTCACAAACATCCTGCAGTCGATCCAAGATCTTTGCCCAGTCGGAGCCTTTGTCAAGTTCGACGGAGAGCGATGGTGGGAAGTATCTGATCGCATCTCAAGAGAGAAGATTGCTTGCATGTTCCGGGACTCTCTTTCCGGGCAATACAAGTCTTCCAACAAGAACAAGGTTGCCAAGCGCCGTGCTCAACGAGCCAAAAAGCGCCATGCAGCTATTTCAATGCAAAAAGTAGAAACTCAACAGCCACCATGTTACCAAGAATCACTGCCAAAGACACCAGCAGCGCAATCATTGGAACCGCAAGCCTTCGCCAATAACTTGGCCGAACCTCCTAAAATGACTGTCGCCCCCTTCAAGAGAGTCAGCAAGGAACGAGACTCCATCCTAGTATTGGAGGGTCTTGACTTTAATGGACTGCTTGATGTCGATCGCAATGTCTTTGATTGCGCCGATTTCTTTAGCGAGGATGCCGCCAAAGTGAGTTCGGATGAAGAATCCTTCTTTGATGAACAAGTTTTTGCCTTGTAATATGCTGGCTCTAACTTTCTGGGAAATCTATAGATAAAGTCAAAATAGAAGATACATTACATGTTCACACAAGAAATATGATTCAGATAGGTTTTAGTTGTAATGCAACCGCCTCGGGTTGCCTTATGGTCCACTCGCTGCTTATTTTGAATTAGCGATTTGTTGTTGGCCAACAAATGTCCAGCCTCGTATCCGTTCTTGAATGTGTCATGAATGGTGCACGTGGTGGTGCATGCTGATGAGAAGGAAAGAACCGAAACGGTGCTTCTCTGTATTAGGTTAAAAAAGAGAGTCCTCATACTATGTGCTCGATGGCAGACAGTTCTTTGGAATGATAGTTTTCAGATGACCACAGGCCAGCTCCCACAAGCTCCACTAGCTTTCTTTAAAAAGAGTCCACTTCAGTGCTTCTTCTACCCTTCTTTCCATTCCGGTGAAATCTCCTTCTGCAAAAAACGATCCAGATGTTCATTCATTACTCTCTGGCATTCAGGATGCCAACCAAAGGACGGGGCCTTTTTCTTGATGCAGCCGTGCTTCAACTGAATATAGCCGTCCCATGGACCCAGCTCTGGAAGCTCGCTACGAAAGACATCTTCTTTTTCTTTGGTAGCAAGCATAGCCTTGGTCTTTTTGTTGTAGCGATGGTCATTGTTGTGCGCACGATAGCGACGATCCACCTTGATTCCTTTTGGATAGCATTTGGCCATCCGTGCAAAAAAGAATTTTCCGTGCACAAATAGGTCATCCGGTCGTTGATCGGTCAGTGGCCACAATATTGCGATATGATCGAAGCGATAGGACACAAAGTGCTCGTCCACGCATGACTGGTAGGTGTCATACCCCTCGCCATCCCGTTTACTATCTTGAGGCCGAATCAGTGGATGAGTTGTCTCCTCGGAAAGTAACATTTCGTGGTACCGACCCCAAGCAGCATCACTAATATTCTTTTGCCCTGTAATGGACAAGGCTACATCATCGTCAAACCATGTCATGTACTTGCATCGCTTCCAAAATGGAGAAAGCATCAGACGTTTCACAATCATATTCTTCCCTTCCGCATATTTGCTGTTCTTCTTGAAGATACAACCATCACAATCTTCATCATAGCTATGATAAAGGAAAACGGAAGTATTGGTTGCAAACTGACTTTCCATCCTTGCCTTGTGTGCTTGAAACTGCTTGGCTTCCCCCATGCTGACATAACAAATCATGTCACGACCTTCCAAACTTAATGTAGATCCATCATTATGGTGGTTTAAAGCTTCATTGCCACCAATGACAATACTTTTATTATTGGCCCCAGTGTACTGCGGTTGGGAGAAAGACGACGAGTCTCGTTTCGAGCAATTTGAAATGTTTTTGTAAGGGGTCGTAATAACGGAACGAATCGATGCCCCACAGACAAAGGCCAGGATAATCCGTGATCTTGATTGGTTCCACCAATGATTTTTCTTCGTCGACGTGCCGTTGCTCTTATTATTTGTTCCATTCTCGCTCATTGCATGTTATGGATGAAGAGCTGAAGGGTGCAGGGATGAAAGGCCGCCGTGATGACCAGGTCATTTCATGTCATCATGGAAAAGATGCGGTTTTGCGTTTCAGGTCATTTAAATCGTATCAGTCTAATCAACGTCACAGAGAAAAGATTAAGACAGGATCGATGTCAATGATCACAATCAATCAGTCCTCTATTGTAAATGTATATTATTATAGTCTACATGCACGCAACGTAGTGATCATAGGACACAATACATAATTTGGCTATGCATCTCGAACTGCGGCTCTGTTTGCATCATGACTGACTCGCAAACGAATTAGTATTCGACACAGAATTTCGTCCTCGTCCAGCGACAGCCAATCGCACCGCCTCCAATCCAAGAAGATCTCCTTCTTCTTTCTTTTCTTCTTTCACGTGCCCAACGAAGATTCAATTTTCAGAATGCAGAGTGAACAAACCAGGTAAACATAACATAAGCCACACACGAGCCTGGTTTGATTCATTCAAGACCTGCCGTCCAACTGTTTTCTTGTTTTCAAGGAACAAGTTCTTCGCTCTTGGATGAGTTTCCTTGCACGGGCAGAAAACAAATGGATGCCAACGCTATCATGGTATAAACACGTTTCTTCCAATAATTTTTGGCCGCGCTGCATATACCTAATCCGAACAACCGAGGAGAATCCAAGCAAGCATTGTGCTGGCCCACCTTCTTTTGTAAGTGGTGACATCGAATGTTGCAACGAGTACACCATTCATATCCCTCAGATGGCAAGGAATCACTGTAGGGACGAACATATGAGGACGGCTGGTGTTGCTGCTGATGTTGGCCATGATTATTGGTCTCCACCCGACAGGATCGATTATATGGCGGTTTAGATGATGATGCATGCCGATATTGATGGGTGGGCGTTCGACGCCGTATTCGTTGCGACCGTCCGCCATATGAGCTCATTCGGAAGAAATCATTGGAAGGTGTTGACTTTGGCAATCTCACTTTTGTAGAAGTAAAACGTGACATGTGCATGGTTATGTAGATATTTGTAAATTCAAAATATTTGGAAAGACGAAGCGTTTGCCTTTTCAACTGAAGATAAGAAACTTGGATTGCTGCAAATTCCGAATGTTATCAGTAGGTAGATGAAATGATGAGCAATACGGGTATTGATGCACCTCGTCAAATGTCAACAGAACTTTGGTCTTCGTCCTGCGTAATAGTGTACATACATCAAACGATCGTCAGAATGAGCGTGTCAAAGTCTGAACAGCAATCGGTGACGTCATAGGATTAAAGAGGCCATGAGGGTACTTAACGGAAATTCTGCTCGGTCTTGGTTGAAGACTTCTTTAGTCCAAAGACTCTGTCTGATCACTCATCACTCCAACAAGATAACATATAGACAGATTCTCAAATACTATCGTCGCGTTGCAGCATCTGTCGATGGCTGCCCCTTCTAGCTGTATCATCTTAACTGAGAGCTGATTGCACATCAAAGCCACAAATGGCCTTCTTTGCGAGTCTGAGACGGTTCAAATTCTTTACTGATCATTCCACTCGGATCAAACATAAGAACAATGAGGACGATTCGTTTGTCTTCGTCTATCACAAGGAAACTCGAAGAATACCAACCCGACTCAAGATAGCAACTGTCGCCCCTGATGTAGAAGAGATCCCCAAGAAGGCATTCTTTAAGAGACAGCATCTGAACCGTGTTGATTTCAGTCAAGCAAATCAACTTGTCACGATTGGTGTCGCAAGCTTTGCCCATTGCAATCATCTGATCGAGGTCCAGCTTCCACGAACAGTAGAAACATTGCGATCCGAAGCATTTTTGCATTGCATTCGATTGCGAAGGATGCGTCTCAATGCAAACCTTGTTTCCATTGGACACAGCGCCTTTATGGGTTGTCAAGAGCTACAATTCATCGACTTTACTCGGTCCAAACGTCTCGAGGTGATTGGCGCCTCTGCCTTTTGCTACTGTTTAAGTTTGACTACCATTGAAATTCCAAACAGCGTCAAAAAAATTCAACATTCGGCATTCTCGGGATGTGAAAACCTCAAGGAAGCCAAATTTCGAAACACCTATATCGTCGAGATTCCACAAAGCGCCTTTGCCATGTGTTCCAGCCTACGCCTTGTGGACTTTGGAAGTGCGACAAACATAACATCGATTCAGATCAGTGCATTCGAGTCATGCGCGTCTTTGGAGGTTGTGAGATTGCCAATGCGCCTACAAATATTGGAAGAACGGGCCTTCTTTGGCTGTCAAAGCCTCGCAGAAGTACACTTTCCAGAGAGCCTAACGAAAATCAAGAATCTGGCATTTTCCAGATGTGACAAACTAAAAACAATCACGCTTCCTGCTGCTCTAAACTGTCTAGAAGAAGCATTTGATGCACATTACTTGGAGCAAGTGGAGATCAATGGCAACAACCCGGCTCTCTGGATTCGTCTTCACCGTTTGTACCCAGATGCGATATCGTTTGAACAAATGGTGTCAAGAAGCTTACGGTATCCCGACTCTTTGGGAAATAGAGAGTTTTTATTGCCTTCCTTGTCGGATGATGAGCTGCAACAAGAAACAGATCTTCTGCAGGCGCTCCAACTCGAACATGCAAATGCCATTTGGCGCTTGGTGACTTGGTGTTTGGGCAGAGGAATTATGCTTCACAACAACTATTAATTAATGAAGGCTTGAAGTAAAAACAATACCGGTACTGGTACCCTTGCAATTGGCGTATGATCGCGGAATTTAGGTGCGTTGCGGTTGCAATAAAGTTTGTACGGGACTACCGGAACCTGTTACCGGTACCAGGTACGCTAATGATTGATGAGCCCAAAATTCACAATCGGTTCTTTTCGCCAGGCACGGAGAAATATCTTTTGATGTTTTTAATGTCCGGCTGATGCCCCGTTTTCGTTGTTCCCACCCCGGTCCAAAATATATTATATATATATAGTTTATATATGGGAACATGGGAACGCAAAATCGTTGGGTATTACATTCATTTAAAGTGGGGGGTAAAAAACACGGTTTGTTTTCTTTCCCAATATATAAAATAATCGTGGATTCTCATTGAACTGCAACACAAACAAGCCTTGATACAATTTCTTGGTTTTCGCAAATTTGAAAAAGAAAAAAGCTCCACAATTTTCCAAGGTCGAGAATGCCCCTCATCGTTTACACACTGACACAAACACAATTTGAGATTGAAGAGTGTAGGTACAATGGGCATTGCAATGAAACGACAGATCTCAACGTTTGAGGATAACTCCAATGTACAACATGACGACAATGAAAGTCTTGCTGCAACTTCCTTTGTGACTGGAACTTCGGTTGTTGGTAGCGATGATTCCGACGAAGGAGTTCCCGCAAAACACATAACCATCCAAGGGCAAAACGCCGTCAGATTTTCAAAGGTGCTCGTCTTCTTTGTCCTCTTCTTGGCGGCGGCAGCTGTCGCTACTGTCACATACATTCTCATCATCAATGAAGAAAAGACGGAGTTCAAAAGTCAGGTAAGCTACCCTTGTATCCAACTACTCTATTGAAATGTCGTTTTCAAAATACCATTCAACATTGATCTTCTTTTGCAACGGTTTTGATGAACTGCAGTTTTCAGGTGCCGCATCTGAGATCGTCACTGTTGCACGAAAGAACGCAGACCAAATATTCGCCACAATGAATGCATTGTCAGTCAGCATTGCATCTTCTGCAGCGGCCACAAACTCTTCCTGGCCATTTGTTCGAGTTCCAAACTGGTCATTGACAATTGAATCTCTTTCCACGCTGATCGGCGGCGAGGCACCAATCATTGCCTTCTCGCCAATCGTCGAAGAGTCCCAGCGAGGTATGTGGTCTGCATACTCGATGAAGGAAGCAGGAAACTGGTATGCCGAATCAATCAGTAATCAGAAGAAAAACTATTCAGTGGAATTACTGATGAATGGAACTTTACCTTTCATTCACTACTACGACGTTCAAAACAACTTCATGCCCACACCGGTCAGGGGTCTTGCAACGACATTACCAGCGTGGGAACAGTATCCCCTTATCACTGGGCATCGCAACACGATGTACACGAACTATGATATGCTACAGTTCCCGCAGGTGGCAACGCTATTCGACATCACTAATGCTACTCGAAGACCATCCATGGACTTCAATACCGATCTTCGGGAGGCCGCGAACTCGATTATGCAACCCATTTTCGAAGGCGTCGACTCAAAGTCTAAGGACTCGAAGATGGTGGGAGTGGTTTGGCTGACCATGAAGTGGCTCGACTACTTCCAGAACCTTCTCGTCGAAGGTGTCGATGGAATAATAGTTGTCCTCCGAAGCAGCTGCTCGAGGGTCAGATACGAATCTGTGAATGCGTCGACTCAGGAACCATCTGAAACTGTCGTTTCCTATCTGATCAATGGCCCCAACGCTGAGTATCTTGGCGAGTTTGATGCTCATGACTCTCAGTACGATGCTCTGGAAGTCACCAAAGTATTAGTGGACCTAGACGTGGACGAATCCAAGATCCCAGATGGCAACTGTATCCCCAAGTTGACACTGCATCTTTACCCTACAGAAGAATTTGAATCGAGATACCTATCCGATAAGTCTCTCTACTACACCATCGCTGTGGTCTCGATATTTGCCTTTACCAGTATGGTGTTCATTCTCTATGACTTCTTTGTTGGACGGCGACAAAGAACTGTCATGGATCGCATCATCAAGCAAGACAAGATTGTTTCGGACGTCTTTCCGACAGCCATTCGAGAGCGACTCTACGATGCACAAAAGCAAAGGCCTGCTCAAGACGATCTAATGGATCCCCTGGACTTTGAAGGACAAACGAACGACATGACTGAAGCGCCTCTCGCTGACTTGTTCCCAAACACTACTGTAATGTTCGCGGACATTGCTGGCTTCACCGCATGGTCTTCCGCCAGGGAGCCTTCGCAGGTCTTCATCCTACTAGAGACCATATACGGAGCCTTCGACAAGCTGGCATATCGATATGGCGTGTTCAAGGTAGAGACGGTGGGCGATTGCTACGTTGCGGTAGGGGGTCTGCCGGAACCCGACAAAGATCACATGGTTGCTGTCGCCCGTTTTGCTAGAGGATGTATGAAGAAGATGAAAGAAGTGACAGCCAAATTGGAGATGAGGCTGGGTCCAGACACATCCGACTTGAACCTGAGAATCGGTATGCACAGGTATGTTCATCAGTTGCTTCTTCTTGCCGTTTTTCACTTTTGAAACTATGGTTCTGACTGTACTACTTTGCGTTGCTCATGGGAATCAGTGGGCAGGTGACTGCTGGCGTCTTGAGAGGTGAACGAAGTCGATTCCAGCTTTTTGGTGACACAATGAACACGGCCTCTCGAATGGAGAGCAGTGGGAGTCCAAAGCAAATTCAAATGTCGCAAACAACCGCAAATCTGTTGATTGAGGCTGGTTGGTCTCGATTAATCCGCCCAAGAAACCACAAGATCCATGTCAAGGGAAAAGGAGAGATGCAAACGTATTGGTTGCTTAACAGCAACGACGATTCCAGCGAAAAGAACATCTCTTCTGAAGCTTCGGACACTGTAGATACAGAGCACTCTGCCAACCTAGACGAAGATGTTGACATAGGCATTGCGGAAACTACAAAGCAAGAACGCCTTGTCGAGTGGACTGTTGAAATTATGGGTTCTCTTTTGCAACAGGTGATGTCTTCCAGAAGCAATGGATACAAAGACCCCGGATCTGTTGCACTGAAGGAACAAACGATTGGAAGTGATAAGACTGTACTCGACGAATTCGTCCCAATCATCACATTGAAGAGATTCGGTTCCGAAGAGCTGCAGGAAAGGAAACAAGGCAGCCCGCAATCTAGTATTGGAGAGAATGCAACGTCGCAACTTAGAGACTACATCTCGAACGTGGCTTCCATGTATCGCGAAAATCCATTTCACAACTTTGAACATGCAACACATGTGACCGCTAGTGTCAAGAAACTACTCATGCGCATTGTCGATACAGACAAAAGGAATGCTCTGCTGCGACCGAAAGAAGAACAAAGCAGCATGGAGCTCATGGATCTAGCAGGTCACTCGTATGGTATCACGTCGGATCCCTTGACGCAGTTTGCGGTTGTTTTCTCTGCCATTATCCATGACCTCGACCATCCAGGCGTCCCCAATACTCAGCTTCTCAAGGAGGATACAAGAACCGCAAAGCTCTATCAAAAGTCCATCGCAGAACAGAACAGTGTTGATCTCGCTTGGGAGATACTCATGGGACCCGAATACGAGGATCTACGAGCATGCATCTATGAAAGCGAAGAAGAGCTCTGTCGATTCCGACAGCTGGTCGTCAACACTGTCTTAGCGACTGATATTGTTGATAAAGGGTTGCAAGCACTACGAAAGGCCCGATGGGAGACGGCCTTTGCTGAGACAGATCTTGCTGCAGCTGGCGAGGACGGTATCGAGAGCGAAGATCGCAAGGCAACCATTGTAATCGAGCACTTGATTCAGGCTTCAGATGTATCCCATACGATGCAGCATTGGCATATCTACAAGCAATGGAACGAGAAGTTCTTCATGGAATGCTATGGAGCCTTCAGGTCGGGTCGAGCTGATGTGGATCCAAGTACGAATTGGTACAAGGGGGAGATTGGTTTTTTCGACTTTTACGTGATTCCTTTGGCGAAGAAGCTACATAGCTGTGGTGTGTTTGGGGTATCTTCTCAGGAATATTTGAACTATGCACTGGCCAATCGCGATGAATGGGTTCGCGAGGGCGAGAAGCTCGTTGACGACTATCTGGAAAAGTATGAAAGTATAGCAAAACGATGAGGGTTTTCTTGTCAGTAAATCATGCCGCAAGTGCAATAGTGGTCTGATTTGATCTATATCGAATGGGTGCTGTATAACGTTATAGATTTCCTACTTGTTACTGAAGATGTCGCCTCTCAGCTGCCCACTTATTTTATTGATGCTAACAACCTCCTCAGCCAACTCGTCTCGCTGAGGTGGCGATGAATTTGAAACAGCTTGGGATGTCATGAATGAGGACGAATGACGAAGGTGGTTCTGGTCAAAATACAGTTCTGCCAGTATTTTCTAGTCGCGACAAAACGATGAAACTTTGAGCCAGAAATAAGGCCCAGTAGATTTCGTTTCGCCACACGAACAGTCGTCTGTTCAAATCAATTACAGTACCGGAAGGCCGATTCAACCAAAGATTCAACAGTCCTACTGTACAGAAACGGCAATGTACCGGTTGTGGTATGCGTTCATGATTCAATTTTTGAAAAAGATTATCATATTATGGGTTTTCAGTTCTTTTCTTCTTCGATTCGTTTCCTCACGTCGCGTTCGTGCTCGCGCCAGGACTGGACTTTGTTTTATGCCCTAAGTATGTTGCCTTTAAATAAATTGTTGATAGCGGCATAATGTCCAGAACAGGAGAGAACATATTCGGCTTGAGAAAGGTTTTTTTATTCTTCTCCAAAATGGCAAAGATTCATTGAGGTCATATTTTTTGAAGACTCACATCGGTTTTTTTGGTCGGGCATCGCAATGGCACAACAAACTCCTACATTTGAGGATAACTACAGTGTACATCATGACGACAATGAAAGTCTTGCTGCAACTTCCTTTGTGACTGGAACTTCGGTTGTTGGTAGCGATGATTCCGACGAAGGAGTTCCCGCAAAACACATAACCATCCAAGGGCAAAACGCCGTCAGATTTTCAAAGGTGCTCGTCTTCTTTGTCCTCTTCTTGGCGGCGGCAGCTGTCGCTACTGTCACATACATTCTCATCATCAATGAAGAAAAGACGGAGTTCAAAAGTCAGGTAAGCTACCCTTGTATCCAACTACTCTATTGAAATGTCGTTTTCAAAATACCATTCAACATTGATCTTCTTTTGCAACGGTTTTGATGAACTGCAGTTTTCAGGTGCCGCATCTGAGATCGTCACTGTTGCACGAAAGAACGCAGACCAAATATTCGCCACAATGAATGCATTGTCAGTCAGCATTGCATCTTCTGCAGCGGCCACAAACTCTTCCTGGCCATTTGTTCGAGTTCCAAACTGGTCATTGACAATTGAATCTCTTTCCACGCTGATCGGCGGCGAGGCACCAATCATTGCCTTCTCGCCAATCGTCGAAGAGTCCCAGCGAGGTATGTGGTCTCGATACTCGATGGAACAAGCACCAAAGTATTATGGGGAGTCCATTGTCGACTCCTCCACATTCGAGCTATTCCTGAATGGAACTTTGCCTTTCATTCACTTCTATGATGTTGAAAATAACTTCATGCCCACACCGGTCAGGGGTCTTGCAACGACATTACCAGCATGGCAAACGGACCCGCTTGTCATTGGACATCGTAATGTGATGCACACAAACTTGGATCTATTGGAGTTTCCACAAATAGCAACGCTATTCGACATCACCAATGCGACTCGAAGACCATCCATGGACTTCAATACCGATGTTAAGGAGGCCGCGAACTCGATCTTGCAACCCATTTTCGAAGGCGTCGACTCAAAGTCTAAGGACTCGAAGATGGTGGGAGTGGTTTGGCTGACCATGAAGTGGCTCGACTACTTCCAGAACCTTCTCGTCGAAGGTGTCGATGGAATAATAGTTGTCCTCCGAAGCAGCTGCTCGAGGGTCAGATACGAATCTGTGAATGCGTCGACTCAGGAACCATCTGAAACTGTCGTTTCCTATCTGATCAATGGCCCCAACGCTGAGTATCTTGGCGAGTTTGATGCTCATGACTCTCAGTACGATGCTCTGGAAGTCACCAAAGTATTAGTGGACCTAGACGTGGACGAATCCAAGATCCCAGATGGCAACTGTATCCCCAAGTTGACACTGCATCTTTACCCTACAGAAGAATTTGAATCGAGATACCTATCCGATAAGTCTCTCTACTACACCATCGCTGTGGTCTCGATATTTGCCTTTACCAGTATGGTGTTCATTCTCTATGACTTCTTTGTTGGACGGCGACAAAGAACTGTCATGGATCGCATCATCAAGCAAGACAAGATTGTTTCGGACGTCTTTCCGACAGCCATTCGAGAGCGACTCTACGATGCACAAAAGCAAAGGCCTGCTCAAGACGATCTAATGGATCCCCTGGACTTTGAAGGACAAACGAACGACATGACTGAAGCGCCTCTCGCTGACTTGTTCCCAAACACTACTGTAATGTTCGCGGACATTGCTGGCTTCACCGCATGGTCTTCCGCCAGGGAGCCTTCGCAGGTCTTCATCCTACTAGAGACCATATACGGAGCCTTCGACAAGCTGGCATATCGATATGGCGTGTTCAAGGTAGAGACGGTGGGCGATTGCTACGTTGCGGTAGGGGGTCTGCCGGAACCCGACAAAGATCACATGGTTGCTGTCGCCCGTTTTGCTAGAGGATGTATGAAGAAGATGAAAGAAGTGACAGCCAAATTGGAGATGAGGCTGGGTCCAGACACATCCGACTTGAACCTGAGAATCGGTATGCACAGGTATGTTCATCAGTTGCTTCTTCTTGCCGTTTTTCACTTTTGAAACTATGGTTCTGACTGTACTACTTTGCGTTGCTCATGGGAATCAGTGGGCAGGTGACTGCTGGCGTCTTGAGAGGTGAACGAAGTCGATTCCAGCTTTTTGGTGACACAATGAACACGGCCTCTCGAATGGAGAGCAGTGGGAGTCCAAAGCAAATTCAAATGTCGCAAACAACCGCAAATCTGTTGATTGAGGCTGGTTGGTCTCGATTAATCCGCCCAAGAAACCACAAGATCCATGTCAAGGGAAAAGGAGAGATGCAAACGTATTGGTTGCTTAACAGCAACGACGATTCCAGCGAAAAGAACATCTCTTCTGAAGCTTCGGACACTGTAGATACAGAGCACTCTGCCAACCTAGACGAAGATGTTGACATAGGCATTGCGGAAACTACAAAGCAAGAACGCCTTGTCGAGTGGACTGTTGAAATTATGGGTTCTCTTTTGCAACAGGTGATGTCTTCCAGAAGCAATGGATACAAAGACCCCGGATCTGTTGCACTGAAGGAACAAACGATTGGAAGTGATAAGACTGTACTCGACGAATTCGTCCCAATCATCACATTGAAGAGATTCGGTTCCGAAGAGCTGCAGGAAAGGAAACAAGGCAGCCCGCAATCTAGTATTGGAGAGAATGCAACGTCGCAACTTAGAGACTACATCTCGAACGTGGCTTCCATGTATCGCGAAAATCCATTTCACAACTTTGAACATGCAACACATGTGACCGCTAGTGTCAAGAAACTACTCATGCGCATTGTCGATACAGACAAAAGGAATGCTCTGCTGCGACCGAAAGAAGAACAAAGCAGCATGGAGCTCATGGATCTAGCAGGTCACTCGTATGGTATCACGTCGGATCCCTTGACGCAGTTTGCGGTTGTTTTCTCTGCCATTATCCATGACCTCGACCATCCAGGCGTCCCCAATACTCAGCTTCTCAAGGAGGATACAAGAACCGCAAAGCTCTATCAAAAGTCCATCGCAGAACAGAACAGTGTTGATCTCGCTTGGGAGATACTCATGGGACCCGAATACGAGGATCTACGAGCATGCATCTATGAAAGCGAAGAAGAGCTCTGTCGATTCCGACAGCTGGTCGTCAACACTGTCTTAGCGACTGATATTGTTGATAAAGGGTTGCAAGCACTACGAAAGGCCCGATGGGAGACGGCCTTTGCTGAGACAGATCTTGCTGCAGCTGGCGAGGACGGTATCGAGAGCGAAGATCGCAAGGCAACCATTGTAATCGAGCACTTGATTCAGGCTTCAGATGTATCCCATACGATGCAGCATTGGCATATCTACAAGCAATGGAACGAGAAGTTCTTCATGGAATGCTATGGAGCCTTCAGGTCGGGTCGAGCTGATGTGGATCCAAGTACGAATTGGTACAAGGGGGAGATTGGTTTTTTCGACTTTTACGTGATTCCTTTGGCGAAGAAGCTACATAGCTGTGGTGTGTTTGGGGTATCTTCTCAGGAATATTTGAACTATGCACTGGCCAATCGCGATGAATGGGTTCGCGAGGGCGAGAAGCTCGTTGAAGACTATCTGGAAAAGTATGAAAGTATAGCAAAACGATGAGGGTTTTCTTGTCAGTAAATCATGCCGCAAGTGCAATAGTGGTCTGATTTGATCTATATCGAATGGGTGCTGTATAACGTTATAGATTTCCTACTTGTTACTGAAGATGTCGCCTCTCAGCTGCCCACTTATTTTATTGATGCTAAAGTAAAGACACACGCGACTTTCAAACTTCTTGAGCATACAGCACCTTATTTGTTCATTTGCTTCTTCTCAGGAGTATTTGAACTATGCACTGGCCAATCGCGATGAATGGGTTCGCGAGGGTGAGAAGAAGCTCGTTGAAGACTATCTAGAAAAGTACGAAAGCATGAGAATACGATAGTTTGAGTCAAAGAAGTCAACGCCGCATCCGCAATTCTGGTCTGACGCTATTATATGCTGTATATAATGTACTATTAATGCATGTTCCGGAAAGCCTCTATGCTTCGTTGGTCATAACTGCTGCCCCGCTGTCTCCATTTCTGCATATTAGGCATACGTGACCCTATTTCTGCATATTAGGCACACGTGACCACTACTGGTACATGCCCATTGTCCGTTCCCTTGACAATGTTGTCAGAAACCATCATGAACAACGTTATTCTATTTTCCAGTGGTTCATTTTTAATATGGATAATGCCAGGCATTATTAATAACGATGTCAGGCATTGTACATGGGTACCTGGTACCGATAGTGGTCCAGTTCCCATTTCGAACAGAGAAAGTGATAAAATAATATTCAGGGCATAAATGACTAGTTCGAGTCCTAGGTTTAAACGAGCTGCGTCCGAAAAACCATGATTCGTTGCGCAAAAGGAATCGTGTCAACAGTTACTTTTTTACAAGAGGGGTCTCATGACAACAAGACATCAGCCATTGCTTCTTGAGGCATCGGGTGCAGGTTATACGGTTCCTTCGTACCAGGTGCCGCGTTCTTGTTGGCATTCAGATGTTTATTGTAGAACCTCGCCAGGCTTTGTAAGGTTTTATCATACTCTCACAAATTACAAAAATGGTAAAAGGAAACGACTCCAAACCAGACGACAATAGCTACATCAAAGAGTTTGACTCTAGTGCGAGTACAACGGGGATATCTGCATTCACCAGCTCCAGCGTTGCAAGCTCCTCGTACGAGTCAAGATACGCTACACCACAGGTTGCGATCAGAGAGCAGAGAGATGTGAGATGGTCCAAAGTACTCGTTTTCTGTGTCCTACTCATGGCAGTATCAGCTGTTGCTACTGCAACTTATCTTATTATCAATGATGAGGAAAAGGCCGAGTTCGAGTATCAGGTGAGTCACTTCTGAACGGCGTGCTGGCGTTATGCTACACCTTCATTCCATGGCCAACTCATACTCTTTCTCAATAATTTCTTAGTTCTCCGGTTTCGCTTCCGAGATTGTCACTGTTGCAAGGCAAAAGGCAGATCAAATATTTGCCACAATGGATGTTCTTTCTGTTACGATTGCGTCGGCCGCAGTCGCGACGAACTCGAGCTGGCCTTTTGTCAGCGTCCCTAACTGGTCCTACAAGCTTGAAGCCCTAACTACTTTGATTGGGGGTGAAGAGCCCATTATTGCCTTTTCACCGATTGTCGAAGAATACCAACGGGGCATGTGGTCTGGATATTCAACGCAAGAAGCAAGAAGATGGTATTCAGAATCCATTAGCGCTCAAAAGAAAAACTATACAATAGAGCTATTGATGAATGGCACTTTGCCTTTCATTCACTACTACGACGTTCAAAACAACTTTATACCCACACCAGTGATGGGTCCTGCACCGTCATTACCGGCGTGGGAACAGTACCCCCTTACCACTGGGCATCGCAACACGATGTACACCAACTATGATATGTTACAGTTTCCGCAAGTAGCGACGCTATTCCACATCACCAATGCGACTCGAAGACCATCCATGGATTTCAATACCGATATCAGGGAAGCCGCGAACTCGATCATGCAACCCATTTTCGAAGGCGTCGACTTGGAATCCGAAGACTCGAAGATGGTGGGAGTGGTTTGGCTGACCATGAAGTGGCTCGACTACTTCCAAAACCTTCTCGTTGAAGGTGTCGATGGAATAGTAATTGTTCTCCGTAGCAGCTGCTCGAGGGTCAGATACGAGTCCATGGATCCCTCCGATCAAGATCCGACCAACACTGTCGTTTCCTATCTGATCAATGGTCCCAACGCTGAGTATCTTGGCGCCTTCGATGCTCATGATTCTCAGTACAATGCTCTGGAAGTCACCAAAGTTTTAGTGGACCTAGACGTGGACGAATCCAAGATCCCAGAGGGCAACTGTATCCCCAAGTTGACACTACATCTTTACCCTACAGAAGACTTTGAGGCGAGATACCTGTCCAACAAGGCACTGTACTACACTGGCGTGGTGATGCTTATCTTTGCCTTTACCAGTATGGTCTTCTTGCTCTACGATTATTTTGTTTCACGGCGACAACGGATGGTGATGAATCGCATCATCAAACAAGACAAAATTGTTTCGAATATGTTCCCGACAGCCATTCGAGAGCGACTCTATGACGCACAAAAGCAAAGGCCTCAAGATGATCTAATGGATCCGATGGACTTTGAAGGTCAAACGAACAACCTCACCGAAGCGCCTCTCGCTGACTTGTTCCCAAACACTACTGTAATGTTCGCGGACATTGCTGGCTTCACCGCATGGTCTTCCGCCAGGGAGCCTTCGCAGGTCTTCATCCTACTAGAGACCATATACGGAGCCTTCGACAAGCTGGCATATCGATATGGCGTGTTCAAGGTAGAGACGGTTGGCGATTGTTACGTGGCGGTAGGGGGTCTGCCGGAACCCGACAAAGATCACATGGTAGCTGTCGCCCGTTTTGCTAGAGGATGTATGAAGAAGATGAAGGAAGTGACAGCCAAATTGGAGATGACACTGGGTCCAGACACATCTGACTTGAACCTGAGAATCGGTATGCATAGGTATGTTCATCAGTTGCTTGTTCTTGCCGTTTTTCACTTTTGAAACTATGGTTCTGACTGTACTACTTTGCGTTGCTGATGGGAATCAGTGGGCAGGTGACTGCTGGCGTCTTGAGAGGTGAACGCAGTAGGTTCCAGCTTTTTGGTGAAACAATGAACACGGCCTCTCGAATGGAGAGTAGTGGAGAGCCTGGATGCATTCAGCTGTCAGAAACGACTGCGAATCTTTTGATGGCTGCAGGACTGTCAAAACTGGTACGACCAAGAAGCCACAAGATACAAGTGAAGGGAAAAGGAGAGATGCAATCGTACTGGCTGCAAACCGCACGGCAGCAGCGAAACCCAAAGATGGTTCCTCGGCTGAATTGCCTCTCTGAAAGTGGCGACGAGAATGAAGAAGCTCCGCTGGCTGCTGGGAATGATGACGACGATTGGTTCTGGTCCCAAGACAGCGCAGAGGAAACTACCAAGTCGCAACGACTCGTCGAATGGAACCTTGAAATCTTGAGCACCTTGTTGCAGCAGGTAATTGCATCAAGAAATGGTCAAGTGAAGAGTATTGAGTCGCTCTCTTCGATGGAGCACGACATTGGGAAGGGCAGTGTTGTTCTCGATGAGTTTGTTCCCATCGTTCCATTGAAGAGGTTCGATCCTGAAGAACTCCGAGTGCGGAAAGCAACAGCTCAAGTCCACATCAGCGAAACAGCAACGCTGCAGTTGCGACTCTACTTGTCCAACGTGATGTCAATGTATCGAGACAACCCATTCCACAACTTTGAGCATGCTAGCCACGTGACTGCTAGTGTCAAGAAACTGCTCATGCGGATTGTTGATTTGGACGAGGGAAAGGTATTCCGCCGTGATGGCTCTGACCGCAGTGTAGATCTGGTGAATTTAGCAGGCCACTCTTACGGTATTACATCGGATCCAATGACACAGTTCGCGGTTGTTTTCTCTGCCATCATCCATGACCTAGACCATCCCGGCGTCCCCAACGCTCAGCTGCTCAAAGAGCAAACCAGAACGGCAAAGCTATACCAGAAATCTATTGCAGAACAGAATAGTGTCGATCTTGCTTGGGGAATGCTCATGAGCCCAGAGTACGACGGGCTTCGAGCTTGTATCTATCAGACCGAAGAGGAACTTTTTAGGTTTCGACAGCTGGTGGTGAATACAGTGATGGCGACTGACATTGTTGACAAAGGATTGCAAGAACTCCGAAAGGCCCGGTGGGAGACGGCCTTTGCTGAGACTGCCCCCTGCACTGGTCATGAAGGTGACGTTGAGAGAGAGGATTGCAAGGCGACCATCGTGATCGAGCACTTGATTCAGGCCTCAGATGTCTCTCACACGATGCAACATTGGCATATCTACAAGAGGTGGAACGAGAAATTCTTCATGGAATGCTACGGAGCCTTCAAGGCTGGCCGGGCGGATGTGGATCCTAGTATCAATTGGTACAAGGGAGAAATTGGCTTCTTCGACTTTTACGTGATCCCTTTGGCAAAGAAGCTACACAGCTGTGGTGTGTTTGGGGTGTCTTCCCACGAGTATTTGAACTATGCCATGGCAAATCGTGAGGAATGGGTTCGTGAGGGGGAGAAGCTCGTTGAAGAATACTTGAAAATATGTTCATCACAGTGGGAGGACTAGATAGAGACTCATATATAGATATATAGATATATAGACATATACTCAAACATCCCCTTGTAAAATAATAGTTTGCTGTTGTGCTTGAGCTGTATTATCGATTCCAGATGCCAAATCCCGTTTACTCGAAACGACTTTCTGACGTCACACAAGCCAGATTCTGGAAGGTTGATTAGCTCGACTGTTTGAGGTTGTATTTTCAAAAATTTTGGTTGGTTCTGATGACACTCAAACCGACATTTTGTGCGTTCTCATCACAACTTCAATAGGTTGGGAGTCCTGACACTTTATTGCTGTTGCGTCAATCCAAGAGTCAACAAGGCACGAGAAGATGAAGAATCACGTGAAGCATGATCGAGATACCTGCAAGAAATTGCTGGAAGAATGTGAAATGTTTGAAAAGGTGCCGGCTTCTGGACTGGCAAAACTTGTCAAGAAAATGAAATACGGAGTTTACGGTCATAACGAGATCATACAGAAGCAAGATGAGCCTGTGGATAGATTCTTTCTTTTAGAGGATGGCGATCTTGTTCGAACTAGACACGATCCGGAGACCGAGCGAACACACACTGTTGAATTTGCCATCAAGTCCAGGTCGATAGGCACCATGAGCGTTCTTGAAGCGGCCCCAGCATCGACTACAGTCAAGTGTGTATCTGACCAGTGCAAGCTATTCGAGATGCACCGCAATGATTATATGCGTTTGTTGCGAAGAGATCCAGATCTCTCCGCACAAATTATTCAGGGTCTGAGTTCCGAAGTCCGAAGGTCGTCACGAAAGTATCAGACACCTCTGTTGCAACAGAAGCAACAAGAAGTCAACGTGACGGCAGTCTCGATTGCTGCAGGTATCGAATGCTACTACCGGTCAATGATGAACTCCTTCTTGAACGCGCGTCTTACCGGGGTGACATCGGAGCTATTTCCCAACATGCACATTCAAGTCCCCAGTCGAATATTTTACATCTGCGGTTTCAAGGTTCTTCGAGCAACTTTTGACAAACATGTCAGCCCTGATGCATACGAGAATCCAGCAGCTATTCGATGGGCGGCTGCACTGACTCCAGGGATTATAATGACACCGATATCAAGTGTTCTCGAAGCTTCGAATGCTGGGCACATGAACTCGGAACCAATGATGAAGAGATGGATGCGAGGAGTCGTGCCTCGTGCGGCGCGTGAGATTGTCTTTGGTATTGGATTGAATCAATTGAGTGACTACTTTGAAGAACGGGTGGAACCTTTCTTCCCTGACAACGCCATCGCTGCGAATGCGGCTGGGAGTTTGATGGCTGGTACGGTTTCTGGCTATTTCTCCCATGTGCCACACAATTTATCAACACTGAAGCTGTTGGAGCCAACCAAGTCTTATAGAGAGCTGAATGCTCAATTTATTAAGCGGAGTGTACCACCGGCAGTCGAACGAATGGTTGCGCAATGGCCACCCCTCGGGCAATCTCTCGCTAGACCTGTCTTTGCGTACGTCTTTCCCAGAGGTCTGTTGATCCGCACAGCACAGATCGTTGGGTCTTTCGTGATCCTGAATGGCACCATCAATTTATTGCAACTGAAGGAGCACGAGAAGTTTGAGCGTAAATGGCTTACGAGCAGGGCTACGGGTGCTACAACTCAGTAGATGTCATGCTTTGGTTGAAGAGGATGGTAGCTACATAATCCCAGACGGAATGAAAACTCCAGTCCCATCTCTTCTACATGTTCCTTTGTAATGTTAAAAATAGCGAGCTTCATAGAGTTAATGTTCCGTCGTGTATTGGTTCTAGCAAACTTCAAAGCATCGTCTCGGGTGAGGTAGCAAGACGTTCCAACATCTTGACAAGCATATTGGTTATATGCCTATCTGCACAAGTCATGAACAAATACGTAATGTAAAAATTTACGGTGTGGTCAAAGTACCTAAAAGTCAACATCAGCACCAGCGTGTTGTCCTCTTGCATAAAAGAGCACCATGCACCGATCAAAATAAATGAAACTGAAAAAATGTGCTCCCTTTTTTGTAATACCGGTATATTATTTTTATCATTGTTACCCAGAGATTCAGGTACGACCCAGAGCAGGATGCTTGTAAATTTCATCACGCAGTCTATTTGTTCACAGGCAAGAAGATGTTGCTGTAGATCGAATGGTGCCATAGCAGTCTAATGCTCGCAGCCAATGTTCGCAGCGTCAGTTTCCTTGGCCGTTGCACTGTACCTGTAGTCCGTCACGCCCCTTTCGAGTGCATGTGGCGACTCGGAGCCTCGTCTCAATCTGATTTCAGAAAGGCTGCATGGCATATCTAGGAAATCATTTGTTCAAGCATATTTCCAAAAACCTCGTCGTCCTCAATTTCGACACCAATGTCGCTCGGAAAGACAAAGTCTTTGAAGAAACCTGCAGCATTTTGAGGAGCCATCTCGACTTTTCGTGCCTTCTCAGCTTCTTGAAGTTGATGAGGGTCCAAGTAGTGGAACTTCTTGTTTCCAAACCCACAAATCACATCAAAATCTTCGACTGCTCTAGGTTCCAGCGAATAGGAACTCTGAAGTGGCAATGAAGCATGTGGCGCAGGCTGCGACATAACTGGTGTTGGAATGGACAGTGACATGGGAGACGGGATAGGCATGAATGTAGTTGGGAAGGACGCGACGGGTCTTGATCTTGGGAGGGGCATGGGTACGGAAAGGGATCTAGTACCAACAAAGGACATCTTGTAGAAGTTTGGTTCTTGATGAGGGTTGGATCTTGCTCGAACACCAGTTCCCTTCACCTTGATTCGTTGAATACCTTGGGCCAAAAATGGCATCGAACGAAGAAAGAGTTCATGGTAGTAGCCTCCACGATCCTTTCCGTGAGTTAAGCGCTGGAATCCATACAGATTCAACTGGCGCTGAAAGCTCGCAAGCTTGGACAGCTTGAAGTATCGAGGCAAGAGGTGGACAAACTCGTCAGACTTGTGTACCACAAAGCAACGTCCGTGGGGTTGCCATGAAACGATATGGCCAAATCCATCTTGCTCTAAATCTCTGAGCATCTCGTGAAGTTTCAAGGGGAAAGGGGTGATCACACCGCCGCGAGCTGGATGGTTGTCTTGCTTGAATTGTCCAATTCGGTCCATGCTGTGATCGTGATAGTGATGCTGGACAACAATATGAGCCCTCGCAGTGTCGTCGTCCTTTGGTTTTTCTTTCTTTACTTCCACCTTCAGATCATCCGCTTTCTCGTTTCTCCATTGCGGCTGGATGATTTCTGGAACTAATGGCATCTCCATCGACTGTTGTTTGATGGCCACCTTCTGCAACAAGGCGGGATCGATGGCTCTGGCCATCGTCTGTATTTGTCTTCTATCTCCTAAGCACATTATAAGATTGAGATTGTTTTTATCGCTGCTTTTTCGATTGTTGGATATTATTATGACCGTGTATTCGTTGAAAGAAAGTTGGAGTTGTTCTTTCTCGGAGGTTCGGATTGGGGAATAGCGATGCTTCCACGAGTTCGGATTTTGTGAATCGTATTTTCTACGCACGTTTCGTACCTTCGCCGTCAGTTTTGGGAGTGGTTCCACAGAACGGCGCAGTACCAATACCATCATGTGCAAGCCCATCATGCTGCTGATAGCGCTTTCGGTGTATTTCCAACCCCGTCTTACAATATTCACGAGAAAATGGAATGGTTGTCTGCGAGTCTTGTCACCTATTCGGGTGACCCACTCAAAAGTTCGGCACCGAAGGCCGAAGGGCTACCAACCACCAGAGCGAAGTTGCTCCTCCAAGATCAGGTATCTCCGATAATGGTAGCTCGCATACCAAAACAGATAAGAGTCGTGTTTTCTTTGGAGTAGATTTCAATTCACTTGCACGATATGGAATTATTCCATGGTTCAGGAAGAACGCGCCTTCTTCATTTTACCAGTTTCTTACAGTACGTTTGCGGTTTCTCTCGGAGGAACGAAGTCTGCATATACTGTAAAAGATGGAAAACAACAGATCGCTGTGCGTTGTTGTCAATCTCTGATCTGAAATTCCAGAGGAACGAACGGTATGTGGGTGTAGTCAAAATTGTCCTTAGGTTTGCATGTGATTCAAGTCTGCTGCAGTTATGCCCGTGAAAATGTCGATGATGTTGGTGTTATTATGTCCTCCTTCCATTTCGATTAGTGGGTTTCCGTCCATTCCCCCCTTGGATTGCACATTCCTTCAATGTGGTTCAATGATTGCTCTTCTCTTTCCTTTTATGCAGCACTTGCAAAGCAGTATTGAAGTTACGAGGAGTGATTGAGTGTTTTGTAGGGTATGGTTCATTCCTAATATTACTCATGGTACTATTATCTATCTGTTGCCTTCGATTGATCAATCGTATATATTATTATTGCTCGCTTGGATGGAATGTCACATACACTGCTTCTGTTAGCTCTATCATAAGTGTTATTGCTGTTTGCTCACGCCTCTTTCGTCTCTGATCCAAATAGTAATGTTTACATTTTCGACTGCATCTTTTCAATTGCCTTCTTCTCTGCCTCTAAAGCCTTAGCCTTGGCTTGCAATTCCTTCTCGGTGGCGGATTCTTTCGACTTTAGCTTCTTGGCTTCTTGTTCCAGCTTCTGAAACTTTTTCTTTTCCTCTGCCAATTTCTTGGCGGCCTTAGCTTTGGCCTTCTTTTCGTTCTTGAGGAACTTTCCGTAAGCCTTCTCGGCCTTCTTCAGCTTCTTTTGTTCCTTCTTGATGCTGTCTTCGGTCTTCTTAACGGCACCAGTTCCATCCTTCAGTTGCTTTTCAGCAGTGGACTTCGCGGCACCGGCTGCCTTGAGCTTGGATTCCTCGGCGGAAGCGACGGCCTTCTTTTCGGCTGAAGGTGAGTGGAATGGGAAAAAGGCAAAAATAATAATGTGAGGTTTGATGAATTGAAGAGACAGAACGACTCGGTGCTCGTCGTCCCCGTCACAAGTTAAAGTATGCCATCCATCAGGTATACGTACATTCAATCTCCGAAAGTTCCTTAATAGCAGAGGTGGGCATTTGTTGCTTCTTGGCTGCTTGGAGTTTCTTAGAGGCTTCCGCAAGACTCTTTTTGGCGTTTGCAGTGGTCTTTGTTTGGCTCTTTAGGACCTTGTCGGCCTTGGATTTGGCACCTTTGGCATCAGAGACTACCTTTTTGTATTCCTTCAAGGAGCTTTCAGCAAGGCTCAAATTCTTCTTGGTCAAATATACTTCCTTTTCTTCCTTTCCCATCTTGGCAATGGCGGCCTTTTCGGCATCTGCCTTGGCCTTTTCCTCGGCGGCCTTCTTGGCAGCCTTCTTGTCGACAACAACAACCTCGGCTGCGGGTGCCTTGGCATGGGCGGCTTCGACAGGAAGAACCATGGTGGAAGTCGAGAAAGCCAAAGCAGAAGCAGTCATCAATGACATGGCAGCCTTTCCAAGGTTATTAACAACGGACATTTCTCCATTTTGTTCCGTGGCCATCTCAAGTGCAACTGATGAAGAGGCAGTCTTGGGGAGGATCATGGGAGAGGAGTTAGGTGCAAACGCCGATGCGCTGGATGCAATGGCAAGAGCGAGAACTGCTTTTGTTTGAACCTTCATTTTCTATTCTGTGTATTAGTAGTTTGTCGTGTAAAAAGCGTTACAATGAATAAAGGTTGTTGCCGTTGTTGTCGTTGTTATTATTACTTCCACTGGTACAGCACCTTCGATGAACAAGGGTGGCAAAAAGCGATGACGATAACCATTCTCATTTTTCGCGGGCGAGGATCTTCAATGTCGTAAGTGACTGACGTACCACTCCATGTGGCAGCTTTATCTCTACCGGTATAATCGAATGAATCAAAATGAATTGTAGATTGATTAGATTGATTCAGAATTAGCACGCCCACCGAAATACGGTACGTCCCACGGTGCCTGGTACCGGTACTGAAGTGGCACCAGAACGGACTGCTCCTGCACATTATGGTACATTTCATAGGTAACATAGCATTTTAAGACATCAAGAAGTACTCTTAAACTTTGGTGATTTGTATTGTGACATGTATAGTGCCAATGGCACAGGACTGCATTCACCCCTTCTCCTGAATGAAAGAACAACAACAATTAAGTTCTAAAAATGAGTTTAGCTTAGTTTCTTCGTTGGTGAATGTGTCGGCTACTACCAGGATTCCATGTGGAAACGATGAAATCTGTTGGGTAACGTCATGACTTCAACCAACGAGAGACAATATATATCTTGCTGCCATATATCTATATTCATTCTTCAAGCACCTAAATACTTTGCCATATAAGGGTTTTCTTTGATTTGCTTTTCACGAAGTTTCAGCAAATACCCCTTTCGTATCCTCTGGGTTTCTTCGATTTCCTCTCTACGCTGCTTCAAAATGAGACCCACCTCTTGTGACGACTTCCTTTTGAATCCTTTTGCTTTCAACAACTGATGAAAGTCGTCAACGGACTCTATCTTTGTCAAATCAATAGTTTCGATTGGAACAGATTCTGTTGCATCTTTGTCTTGGCGGATCTTGTTCTCAACATTAATCTTGGAGCTATGATAAATCGTCAATATGGAACCATGATGATGGCCACTAATATAGGAAACTGTGATAGTGTTGTCGTAGCTTTCCACGTGACCCTCTTTCAAGAAAGATTTGAGAGCTGGAAGGTCGTCCAAAGCTCACCCCATGCAAGATCGAATCTTGCCGGAAACTTCAACATCGTGAATCATGTCAGTGCCACCGTCATTGCTCTCTGAAATGACTGAAATTACTCCAGTGACAATCATAGATGCCACAACGAATGTTGCAAGCAGAGGAATCAGGAATTTTATTGCTTTCTTCTTCATGATATTGTAATGTTGTGTTGCATTACCATCGTGGCACACCGGTGGATAAAGTTGGACGAAACTTGAACAGTATTCAGTGAGAACAGTCTAATGATGGTTCAGGCACTTGCACAGCCGACGGGCGGAGGTCCAATGATGATGGATTAGCATTTTTTGAATTTGCAATCGACTGGTACGATTACAAGTAAGAATAAAACTCATCGCAGAAAACTCACATCAACGCATGAATGTTCTACTGTACTGTAGGTTTATTATATTTTCTCATTATCTAAAGTATTTCATTGAACCAATTGCCGTGGATGCTCAGTGGGATGTGACAGCCAAGGTAGGCTCGGTCCAACTCCTCAAATGTTGTCGCATTCAACACCAGCAAGTACGATTCTCCTGGACTTTCAATCATCTCTGGATTGGGATTCGGCCGTCTCCCATCCAGCACTACGGATAAGACAACTCCATCATCTTCCGCCGAACCTTCTGGAGTTGGAATAAAGAATGGCTCTCCACTATATTGGCAATTGGTGGAAGAATCACTGTCGTCGTTGGGCCAAACCATATCGTGTCCATCACGACGCTTCAAATCCTTTTTGATCAGATAATGCCGCTGAAAGTCAATCATGGATTGGCCGTAGGCATACCGATACTCATATCCGGCTCTATTTGGATGGACATTTGGGAAATCAAACTGATGGACAAATCTGCGATTCTTTGCAGGAATACCAAACACTTCATCCCAAGACTCCTTCTCGATAGAGTTGGAAACAAGGTCAATGGTGTACCGCTGAATTTCAAAGGGAGTTGTGAATTTGGTTTCGTCCACAGGATGGTTCCGAAGAAACTGTTTGTCTGTAAAGTGCTGCAAGGCATCATTCGGTGCATGAACCACATCACATACCAAAGTTCCGTCACTGGCTTCAAAGGCATTGACATGGTGGGTTCCATAGAAACCATCGACGGTCGCGCTCATTACTTCTTTACGCTCATTCAGGTCAAAGACGACAACATGAGTCGTGTCAGCAGCGGTCGTATTCATGATAGATAGCAAATCTTGAAGTGGATATCGTTTGGATGGCTGTATTTTTTCGATTTTGGCTCGGACAATGGGCTCCAGGCGGTCCAAACCCCATTCAAAGAAAGGTATCAGAAACTTTGGTTGTATCGTCTCCCTTGCTGCTGTCTTGAGCTCATTCCAGGTTTCATCCTCATTCAGCATGGTTAATGCGGCGCTCTTGAGATCGACCTTGGAAAAGTCAAGAATGACTGGGTAACAGAAGAATATTGCATAATTTGGCGTCACACTGAATTCGTGGATGAGGGACTTGAGTGGGACCATTGCTTCTCCAAGTAGCTCCCGATGCCCCGAAGAATCGTCTAGTACTTCGCCATTTGTAAACTGATAGAGCGACAGTTTTGGACTCAATAATAGTCCAGACATGCCATAATTGAGAAAGTTGTCCGGCTGTCCAGGCCTTTTCTTCCAATGAGCACAGCTTCCAAATGTGCCCCTTGGAATCCTACTCTGGATTTCATTCCACAAGAGACGAAAGGCTCTTCTCAAGATGTCCTCCCAAATAAACGAAAATGCTTTGTTGACAGTTTTGCATAGCTCCATTGTGACGAGCTCGACAGGATTTTTGGCGTCCGACTTGCTGAGTTCACCTGCTAACGACCTTTCGGTAATCTCATTATCTTCCATAGTAGAAGAATGTACAGAAACGCCTTTAACTGTTTCATTGACGACATCATCCAAATTGATCTCATCATTCAGCATATTGACGAACTCTTGCTCGTTAATTCCCAACATGTCTTCAATGATTTCTTTTTCTATGGCTGTCATTGCGGATGTTCCATCCTGCTGGAGCAATTCCTGCGCCATAAGTACAAGGTCTTGTGCTATCAAAGGTGCAGTCTGGACAGTTCGTCGATAGGCAAAGTTGTCCTTGTCGAATTGATTGACAGTGGCAGAATCTGTAGATGCAATCATTGCGGTCTTGCCTTTCACTTTCATTTTCTCAATCGTAACGTTGTCATTTTCAATCTGTGCTCCCTTGGCAAAAGTCTTCAAATCGGGACATTCGAAATCGTCGCCCATCAGTTTCCCCAGTATTGTATGAGGAGTCATCCTTTGATGATCCACAAAGTCTTGGTACAGGGGACAGTTCACAAATCCTGACGAATAGGTCAGTTGGCCATTGTCTTGGATGACGAACTTGTTGATTTTGGCCCAACCATCCACCATGTTTTGATACTCGGGCCCATCATCACCAAACTTGGATCGTGCTGGTCCATTCTTCATATAAGTTCCTTGGAGCCAGGCAGGAATGTTCTCACCGCCATTCTCCCATTCCATCGGCGTCGGTTCCACTTCGATCGCGTTGTCCGTCAACCATGTGTTGAATCCTGGATATTCGGAGGCTTTTTTTGGAGCGGCGAGCCCATTTGCCCAAACAGTGAGACATGTAGTGATGAAGCCTCTGGCGTACCAATTCATTACACAGTTTGGTTTCTTGGAGTCTCACAATATTTCCAAGATACGATGACGAGACATATTTTCATCAACAGAATTTTTTCGTCAGAATATATAGTATCTTTTAAAAATCAGAACACTGCGGGACGGACAGACGGTGGATTTTGGCGATTCAAATTCGGATCGTCATCCACGCTTCAGTCTTCATCTCAACATCAAAAGTTCAAAGTACAAGTAGAGCTTTCACAGTCGCCAATACTAAGAATTGACAACAAGCAAGTCAAAGCAAACTCGCCGTAAAGCAATCAATCAAACCTTGAATGAAAAAAGGCAAAGGAAAGATGGCCGAAACATGCAAACCTAAAGATCCTCAGCTCGACAAGCCTACTATTGCCTTCATCATTGAACGTTCGCTGAACAAGAATGTCGTCGTCTATGAAGGATTGGTTGACGAAGGTACCAAACAGCTTCAACCAGACAAACCTTTAGATGTATATTGGTTGGACCTGGACCCAGTCTATCAGGAAAAGAATCGTAAGAAGGGGAAAATGACCGACCGTGATGACCTCAATATGATTGAACGCAACATGGCCTATGGCGTCAAATGCGAACCAATTGAAGGAGAAGAAGGGGCCTATGCAATGACACTTGTCGCCCTTCCAAAACGAAAGGGGATTCTCAAAATGGTGAACGGGGTTCCACAAGCCCTCATGGAAATTAATGGCCAACAGTGCTATCTTCAAAGTATATTCGTTCATTCCAAGCAAGGAATGATTGGCCTGCCGAAGGTTGTCTATGTATTGGTAAAAGGAGTTTCTGTAGAGGGTGAGAAAGAACAAGAGGAAAGAATCGAAGGTTAAGGGGCCTCGTTGCCGACGATTGGGGAAATGCTGCATCGGTTGGTTTTCGTTCAAACCACCACGATGATTTCGGGTTTCGAGCTAGGCTGCTTGCTTGACAACTGGAATACCAACCATTCTTGATAAACGGTTGGCATTGAAGGCGATTTCAGTTCACCATCCGCTCACATCCAACAGCGATCCACTGTATGGGAATAGAACAATACATAATAAGGAATGTAAACTTCATGAACAGCAAACTCGAATTTCTCATTCAGAACTAGGTAGATTCATTCTCCACAAACTCTTTATAGTCCACGACACTAGACACACAGCACAAAGTTTACTATCATGAACAAGATATGCTCCAGCATTGTGTTTTACTTTTTTCTAGTTTACTCTAGTTGCCATGCGATATTACCAACCACTGAATCAAACACCCCAAATCCTCCTTTCTTTTAGAGCGTTGTGTCAACGGCACAAGCATCTTTTCGAATGTCGAAGGATTGAGCAGATTGGCTCATAAAGTAGTTTTCGAATCGACGTTGCTTTTCTGCTTCGTCAATGTGAACAACCTCATCATTTTCCAAGTAGAAGTGAATGTCCAAGGCCGACTTCAACGAGGCATCCTTCAGGGAGGGTGCGTCAGCATTGTTGGATTCCAATTGTCTCATCTTTAGTTTTAGAGCAAGCAAGGACTTTTCATCATTGCCAAAGGAGGTCAATTTGGAAACACCGATTGATGTATACAAATTCAAATAACTTCTCAATTCACGGTAAGTCGATTGCGAAGCAACTTCGGTTTCGAATAGGTTCACTTGAAGCTTGTAAACGTTCTCGGTGGGTCCAGTCTTGTTGAAATCAGGAATGACCGGTGATACAAACTTGGGAGAGCAGAAAGTGAAGAGTTCCGTGTAGTTATCCTTGGCGAGGGCTGTTCCATGCTTTTCGCGGATAACCTTGGCAATACCTTCTTCGACCAAGTTTTGTTGGGGGCAGAGTTGTGTGACGATTGCCAAGAGTGCAACCATACGATCATAATTCTTGTACAATTGATCCGAGTTGCGTTGTTTTCGCAACTGGCCCGTCTTGAATCCTCTTTGCATGAACGAACACAAAGATCCGACCATGTTGGCGGCATCCTTGTATCGTCGCAACATGAGGAAACTGATACCAGCGTGGTATGTGAGACTCAGACGAGCATTAAAGACCGAGCTGACAATCTCAGAGAAGGTCATGACAGGTTGATCTGCCTTGGTAACGACGGCAGTAGCTTCCAGAATGGGAGCCAAGGATTGAAGGGAGGAAGTGTAGTCGGCCAACAAGCATTCCAATCGGGACATGGTCACGGACGCGAAGATTCCAAAGTATTGGTAGACAGGAACCGAAGACTTGGTACCAATGGCAACCAATCGTTGCAAGTAGTACATGACTGTCTCGACACTCCATACATCAGCCGCATCTTCTTGTCGCATCAATGCCAAGTTCTCGACGACGTGATGGGGGGCCTTGGGGCTGGGTTCTCCCGAAAACAAATTGTGCTTGTGAGCCGAGGCGTACAGAGTAGTTCGGAATTGGCAGAACCCTTGGAATTGGTAGACGAATTCATGGAGAATATCAAAAGCCCATTGTGGAAGAATAAACAACTTGGGTTGACTGGTCGAAGAAGCGTCATCTTCTGCCACCATGAGAAGCTCATCAAAGAGTTCTCGGTAGACATCCCATCCTTCCATGCGATCTCGGAGGGTGGGACGAGACACCGCATGCCAGTGACGGTGCGTCAATTCGCGATAAAACGCCAAGAATAAAGGATCTCCATTACACTCTGAGGCAATGGCCTGGGGAGATGGCCAGGGGGCGTTGGAGAAGTACTGTCGGAAGGAAAGCAAAGCAAAGCAACAACGATAAATTGAGGATTCCAAAAATGATGAAATGATGGCAATAACGTGTACGATTCCTATCCACCCGTCAGTGCACATTCATCCTCCCTTTTGTACCTTCTCAAATCAAGACCCTTGACGAACCTACCTTTTTGCTCAAGTCACTAAATTCAGAATTGTACAGCCTTGATTGTTCCTCTGTCAATTGGGAAAGTGTAACGGAATCATACAAATCAAAGACGAAATCCGTCAATGCCGCTGGGACACAGGCATCCGTATTACTGGCCATTGTTTCTCTCTTTACGTATTTTTACGTATTCAAGAAAAAAGCGAGAAGGATAATGAAACGATTGTCTCTGTTACACGTCCTTGTTGGTTTCATCAACAGCACAGACAGCAGAGGACCATGGTTGGTGGTTTCAGGTTTGATTGGAATCCATTCAGTCGGAAATCAGGACCCAGTTTGTGGTGGACGAGCGCTCGAGAGCGATCTGTTCGTCGTCTGTCGAAATCACAATTGACCCAATCGACCGACACTACTGTGAACCGCGGGCAGACGGCTCAACTCCTCTGGAGGCTGGCTTGCGCGGTCGACGTCAAGGAGGAATGCTCGAAGATTTGCCTCAACTTGTTTTTATCGCGTGGAAAGGAATCGGGCAGATGGTTTTTGGTTCAAGATCTCATAGAAATTCCGTGTCTGTGTGGTAGTTTTTCTACGGGGCCCCGAACTTTCAATTTGGGCAGTCGTGACGGCTGGAATTCCCTGAAGATACCTCCCTACGGTAATGCGTACGCGAAATGGTCCGTACGAGGGATACCCTTTTGGACGATACGATGGTTTATAATTTCATTCATCTGAATTCAATCAATAAATCAATCATCATGAAGGTCCTTGCTCTCCTCTCCCTCCTCGGTGTTGTCGCTGCATTCGCTCCTGCCCAACAAGGACGTGCCGTCACTGCCCAAAACGCCTTGTTCGATGATGTAAGCAACAACAATAAAATACTGTACTACCAAAGCTCGAAGATGCTGCGAGCCAAACGATCAATTTGTTCCTTTGTTCCTAATGAAGCTCTTCTTCTCTCTCTTTACGCGCTACAGATCTTCGGCATGGATCTTTTCGCACCAAAGAAGGACCAAAACGACTACGGAGCCCGCAACAAGAAGAAGGTATGTTGTTGCTTTGGATCACGTAACACAAGATTTTATGGAAATCTTCGTTCAGTCGTAACTCATCAACTCCCCGTATTTATCCTTCGTTTATCGCCACAGCTTGTTCAAGGAAAGATCGGAGCTGGATCTTATGTTCCAGCAGGACTTACCGCCGCTGAATACCAAAAGATCCGTGACGCAGAGGACAAGAAGAAGAAGGCCAACTACGACCGCAACGTCAAGAAGGCCGGAGTCTTTGAAGATTACACTGAATTCTACATGAAGCGTGGAACCGACAGCAGCCAAAAGTGGAAGAAGTCTGCCACCCTTGGACACAGAATGGCCAAGACCAAGTACGACTTTGACTCTGTCGCCAAGGACGGAAAGAAGTACGACGGTGCCAGAAAGTAAATTTTATCTATATTCACCACCATCATACCTACCCATGCTAAACTCACCCCGAGGCGTGGAGCGGAGTATATAGAGCGATTACGGGAGTAACCGCAACGACTCATGTCAACTCTATTCATCCTAGATTGATAATTGCATATCATATATTAATCGTAGCATTCAGCCTCAACTACTGTATCTTGGTTAGTTAGTCTTGTGATGAAGATGATGATAGGAAGAAAGAAGAAGGTTACAAGAGACAAGACTGGACTATTGTAACGATTGGATAATGCCCGCTGTATTGGAATCATCAGATCTGCGCGCATGATGATGATGGCTGTCATCATCGATCCAAAATATCTCTCGAAGCAAACTTCTGGGCGACGTCACTTTGCACAAAGATCTGTGTACTGGTACTGATACCGACCGGTATCATGGTGGAAGCGTAAAACAAGTAGAAACTAACAAAGTACTTCATGTGGACCAAGATCTAGGGCGCCAATGGATATTTATGATTATATAATACAAGTTGGTGTGGTGAGGTGATGTGATAGTACTTGTGTTGTGTTGATAGTTGTGTTGATACCTGATACCAGTAGTGGTTGGTGAAACGATAAAAGGAAACACCTTTTTCAGAAAAAAAGACACGAATACCGTTTAGATAAAGTACACTCCCTCAATGTTCTTGGCATAACCCTTTCCTGGAGTTCCATAAATGATTCTCGTACTGACAACACCGTCAATCATTGTGATCTTTTCTTGGACACCCTTGAAGCTCAATACATCATCATGTCCTTCAGTGGAGATATCCAACACGTTGTAGGCAATATCACCTCGAGATTGGTTGATCTGTTGCAGAATGTTCAACTTTTCGGCAGCAAAGGCTTCGGTCATTTTCGCAAGAACACCAGGAACGTTGCTGTTGACGACAGTGAATCGGACGGCACCCTCCGGTCGATCAGGCAGACTGGTGTTGGGGAAGTTGACACTGTTCACGATGGTTCCAGTCTCGAGGAAATTTATGATGGTATCTGCGGCCATGGATGCCTACAATAATGACGATTGATTGATTGATTGATTGATTGATTCACATAGAAAGGTTTGGTCAGCGGCATGTTCCAAGGCGAAGTTTTAACAAGTGGCAATGAAGATAAACTTACGGCAGCATCCTCGGCTTCCTCGGTGGAGGCTCCCAAGTGTGGCAAGATAATGGTGTTTTCGTGATTCCAGAGCAAGTCTTCTGGGAAATCAGAAACGTAACGACCGTTTCCGCTGTCAAGGAATTCCTTCATGGCTTCCGAGTCAACAAGTTCACCACGAGCAAAATTCAAAAGGACTGCATCAGGGCTGAAGTGAGAGATTACATCCTTTCCAATAATTCCATGGGTTCCATTTTCTCCCTTGATGTATGGAATGTTGATACTGATGTAGTCGGCCCCAGCGACGGCGGCAGCCATGGAATCAGCAAGATCAATGGTGTTGGGCAACTTGAGTGCGGATCCAACAGAAAGGCCTGGATCATATCCCTTAATCTTCATGCCCAAGGATTCCGCATCACGTGCAGTCATGGAACCGATGTGTCCAAGTCCAATGACAGCAAGAGTCTTTCCCTTGAGTTCACGTCCACCAAACATGGCCTTATCCTTTTCGACGCGTTCACGAGCAAGTCCTTGTTCCCCAAGACTCTTCATGTGGTTGACACCATCGACAATACGGCGAGATCCAAGAAGCATACCACATAACACCAGTTCCTTGACGGCATTGGCGTTGGCTCCAGGAGTGTTGAAGACAGGAATTCCGAGTTCAGTCATACGAGGGACAGGAATATTGTTGGTTCCAGCTCCACATCTGAAAAGCAGTAATTTAAGAGTAAAGAAATAAATAGGTTGTCATAAGAACGTGTAACTTGCATGAAAGCTCCCTGTTCGATTCATTTCCATCGGACATACCTAGCAATAGCACGGACAGTTTGTGGTACATCTGATTCTTGGAGCTTGTGAGAACGAAGAAGGATAGCGTGGGCGTTGGCAGCCTCCTTGTCTTGATCACGGATATCATATTCATCATCAGGGAATCGACTCAATCCAACAGGAGAGATCTTATTGAAAGTCTTGATTTGGTATTTTCCCTGCTTGTAATTCTCAAGATCACCATAAGTTGCCCATTTTCCTGCCAAGTGCTCGACTTCAACATCGGCAAATGCACGCATAGCTACGCGGACTGGTTGTTGAAATTGCTTGGACTTGAGGGCAAACTTTGAAAGTATCATTGTGGAAGGTGGTAGGAGGTAGGATTGAGATCTATGAAATGTGGGAGAAGGCGAATGATTGAATGAATGAATCTCGTCGACGAACTTTAAATTGCCGAACTCCAGAGGTTTGATTTTTTTGATGGGTGGTGCACAAATCGCGCGGCGGATGTGACGTTTTCTGGGCCATCGAAACCCGAACGTGCCGTTGGAACCGCACAAATTGAAAATGCCCTTCGCTTTGTGAAAATACAGGCGAAACTTCGAGAACAAATCTCTTCTCTTTTTCTCTGTCTGCAAGAAAAGATGGTGACGAAAAATGACGACGCGCAAATCTCCTTGAGAAGCCCAGTGTAAGAGTAGTGTCGGGAAGCTCCCAATTTTTTATATGCTCAGCATTTGACTGTAGGAAGATGCAAAGTTCTCGAATCTGAAGGCAGAGCTGTGCCGTAGACGAAACAGTGAGAGGAAGTTGACGATTAAGTGTTATCTCCTCCATGAAGCTGAGGATCATGAGGAATTATTCTCATCATCATTTAAGCTTCTCTAACTTTCTAGAAATATATCCAGAAACTATTCAGGCAATTCAAAGATAGTTGGAGGTTGCCTATTTTTAACAATGACTATATTATTTTTGACTCTATTGCAATCACTTATACGTGGTACTCGCCGTCAATATTTCTGGCGTATCCAACACCGGGGTTGCTGAAGAGAATACGACTGCTCAGCACTCCCTCGAGCATTGTCACTTCTTTTTGTAGATCCTTCAAATCAATTGAGTCTCCTCCAGCGGGATCAAGATCAATCACATTGTAAGCAACATCCCCCTTAGAGTGATTCACTTGCTGCACAATATTGACAGAGTGTTTTGCAAAGACTTCCGTAATCTTGGAAAGCATTCCTGGAATGTTCTTGTTGACAACTGTTACTCGAACGAAATCTTTTTGGCGGACTGCCAAATCGGTATCTGGAAAGTTCACAGAATGACGGATTGTTCCATCTTCAAGGTATCGTTGAATGGTTTCAGCTGCCATGCATGCCTGACAAAGAAAGAGCATACTTCGGTGAGGATTGGCATGAATTGGTATTTCTCGGGCAAGCCTGAATAACTTACTGCTTGATCTTCGGCCTCTTCTGTGGAAGCACCCAAGTGTGGCATGATAACGGCATTTTTGTGATCCCAACACAAATCATCGGGAAAGTCGGAGATGTATCGGCCATCACCAGCATCCAAGAATTCCTTCATTGCCTCAGAATCGACAAGTTCTCCACGTGCAAAGTTGAGGATAACGGCATCGGGCTTGAAGTGACGAATCACAGCTTCGCCAATGATTCCGTGGGTACCTCCCTCGCCTTTGATGTATGGAATATTGAGACTGATGTAATCTGCGTTGGCCACAGCCGAGGAAATAGAATCTACCAATGTCATAGTCTTGGGAAGGCTCAATGCAGATGAAACAGAAAGACCAGGATCATATCCAACAGTCTTCATTCCCAACGAAGCTCCATCACGGGCAGTTGCCGATCCAATGTGTCCAAGTCCAATGACTGCCAAAGTCTTTCCCTTGATTTCCCTGCCACCAAACATGGCCTTGTCTTTTTCTACGCGTTCTCTAGCCACACCTTGTTCTCCTAGATCCTTCATATGATTGATACCGTCGATAACTCTTCGGCTTCCCAAGAACAAACCGCATAAGACCAATTCCTTCACAGCATTTGCATTTGCTCCAGGAGTGTTGAACACTGGAATTCCAAGCTCGGTCATTCGTGCAACAGCTGTAAAAGAGTTCAAGTTCCATTAATCAGGCTGTTGAATGAATCATCATTCTCTCATTCTAGATCTGACAAAATACTTACGAATGTTGTTGGTTCCGGCACCACAACGAGCAATACAACGAACCGAAGTTGCAACTTCCTCTTCTTGAATTTTGTGGGATCGAAGCATTAGAGCATGGGCTGGACGACCTTTGGCATCATCATAAGCTTCCACGTCGAATAATTCCTTTGGGTAGGTTGCAAGACCTTGGGGTGAAATCTTGTTGAAGGTTTGCAACGAGTATTTTCCATCTTGTCTCTTGAATTCTTCAAGATCTTTGACATTCGTCCACCCAGAGGTCAAGTGCTCGTATTCAATTGTTGGCCCAGTGTAGAATCGAAGGTTCTTGAACTGGGCAGCCTTTGAGGCGAAGGCGCGGCTACGAGCTAAAGCTAAAGCACTCATCGTGATGTGATTGACAATAATGGACGAGATTCTTCTTGGACATCAGATGGTGAGGACAGACAAACAGACCTACATGATATTGACTCAGATTATTCCATCCATTTTTTGTATTTTCAGATACCTCTTATCATTTAGAGTAGAGTACCTGGCAGTCATTCTTCACCGAAGACCCTTCATACTTCTTCTTTGTCGTTTGGAACGCGAGTACGGCTCTTCGTCGCTCTCTTCTTCTTGTTTTTCCTCGCGCTTTTTGGCTTTGGAATCCTTTGGAATATAAGTGATCTCCTTGGCGCCACCTTTATTTACAACCTTGACTAATTTTTCTTCCTCCTCTTCCATTCTGAAGCGCTTATCGAGTGGCATGTTCATTCTACGAATCTTCTCCTTAACCTTCATAGACGCACTCTTTTGCCCAAGGCCAGCGTGGACTGCTGCATCGTTGGCATCACCCAAATCATCAGCTTCATACATAATCACCTTCTTGTTCTTGTTCTTTCGGTCTTTCTTCTGCTGTCTGAGTTGTTTGTTCATTGCTTTGACCTGGTCATATGCTTCACCACGAACCTTGCCACCTCGGAATCCATCATCACTATCGTCGCTATCTGAATCATTGCTGTCTTCGTCGTCGTCAAGTTCGTCATCGACACGACGAAAGACCCCAGTATCCGCCATGTCAGCGTCACTATCATCATCGTCACTATCCATGTCGTCACGCTTGGTCCCCTTCTTGGCAGCAACACCACTTGGGTTGCGCAGCTTGAAGTCCTCGTCTTCTTCATCAATTTCGTAGTCTGGGTTCGTGAACATATTTCCGAAACGGTTGTCGGACAAGATTTGTCCAGCAAGTTTAGCAGCTTTGGTTTTGGATGCTCCTGCCTTGTCTTGCAGCCGATCGGCAAATTCTGTGTTGACTGCAGTCTTCTTTTTCCTCGATTCCTTTGGAGCGATGCGGCTGGCACGTTTCGCGTCCAGTCGTTCCTTTAGTTTCTTCTTTCTGTAATCTTCGTACTCGAATGGATTGGCCACAGCACGGATACGATTGTACAAGCTAATGTCCATGAAGAAACCGTGCATGTAGGCCTTGAGCATTGGTGTTCCGACCAAGTCTGAGACTCCAAGGCTTTCCAAGTCGTCGCGACTGACAAACTTGTAATTCTCAAAGACAGTTTCTTCACCCTCTCGAACCAGCACATCACCTCCGGCGGCAGAGTCTCGTTTCAAGTCTCTTTCTTCCAGCTCTTCGGTGATGTTTTCGAGGAAGGAACACCACTTTGGTGCTAATCCAACTTTTGGAATGTAGTATGTTTCGAGCTTAGGCTGGTCGGTTGCACACAGAAGTACGCCACTGGTTTCTCCGGTAGGATCCTTTTCATCTCCAGCCATGATAAAGTTGGCAAACTTGCCTGTGCCTTCGACATTGGCGACGACGGAACCAACAGACGAACCATTATTTTGATCTTCTAGCATGGCAGCCGATGTTCTAACAATTTCACCGGACGATTTGTATTTCCAAATCTTCACAAGCTTCTCGTCAGAGCTGAGGATGCAAGCACTTCCTGAATGGAATTTAATGGTGTGGATTGGTGCACCGTGTTTGTGTTCCATCACATGCAATGGCTTGCTTGTGCGGACATCGTACAACGCTACTAGACCCCCAGCAGTACCGGCAGCCATATATAGACCCGAAGAGTCATGTGCGATACTGGAAATTTCATTTGGGTTTTTATGGAAGAGACTGTTTTCGTCGGCAAAGCCGTAGCCAGCTGTGGCAGATTGAACATCCAATTTCAGGAACGGTTTGAGCAAAGTGTCTGGTGATCGATTGTCCCAAAATCGAACGATACCATCATCACATCCGACAGAAGCCAAAGGCTGAGAAGGAGACACAGCTATACAGGCTGCCGAAACTCCAACATCCATAGCCCATGGTTCTGTGAATCGCCCTTCCTCCAAATTCAGTCTGTATATTTGATCACCACTCGCAGCAACCAGCAATTCACACGTAGTAGGCTCATACGTCATACTTCGCCCAAACTTTGGAATTCGAATTGCTTCATGTTTTCCATAATGGGCGTGGAAGCCAATCGTCCTGTCGTCCATTAAGATACCAATTTTTCCATAGTCTTCCCCCAACATAACGATATCCATAACCTGAGAATCAAGATACCTCTCAAACTTCATCGTCAAATCATGAAGATCAAAACACCTGATTCGCGGTGGATAAGTGCCGCCGACGATCACGTAGCGCCCGTCACCACTTTGGACGACTTTGTTGGCCGAGCTTGGCATTTGAAAATCTTGAATCAATTCAATTCTTCGTCGAATCATATCATCACGCTTTGCGAGATTTCTTCTCGCTCTTTCGCCCAGCCATTCTGGAAGTGCTGGGCCTGACGAAAGATTGTAAATCGTAACATCGTTTCGCTTTTGAACGTTCATGGTTTGATGTTTGGGAGTTTTTCAATATCACTCGTTTTTTTCGTGGGTGCGGGGAAAATCAGAAATTTGGAAGGGAGGACAGACGTGAAAGTTTGTATGATCAATAATGCATGGAAAAGGTACAACAACATTAAGAAAAAAACTATGCGTTATACTTTATGTTTACACCAAATCAGCCTGTGCCTTGAAATCATACATCAAACACACTATCGTTTGCCAGAAATTATGCCAACTTGATACTGACAAGTGCCACATTCTTCACAGCCTTCGAACAAAGAGGGTGAAGTGTTCGTGTCGTCACACGAAATGCGCCAGCTTGTGGGTTAGCCTCTACGCGAACCAAGCAACCGACATTGATATTGTTCCCATTGGCATCCTTTGCTCCGGTCTTGAAGGTAGAAGCCCCCGATACCGTCCACGGAGTCGGATCACATCCGGGGCATCGACCAAACTTGAGACCCTTGGTTATTATATGAGCAATACGCTTCATGTACTCCTCGTCGATCTTTGGTGCATTTGGAGGCGTCTTGACAACTTCTTGACATTCCCGATCTTGCCCTTCCAAACTTTTCCATCTTTGCATAAAGGCAGGAGCCTCGAGCGTGACTGGTTCCAAGAAGCAAGTGGCAACAATTGGAAGTCGAAGTGGGTACTCGTGGATTTCACCTTCTTCCGTCTCAAATGTGATTCGCATAGCAGGAGCATCATCAAATGGAGCTGCAACTTCGACAAGCAACAACAACTTTGCTTGAGTCCGAGCAGCAACCGTTGCGCCACCATCCTCGTTTTCATCAAACAATCCCTCCGTTCCCTGCTTTTGCATTCTCAAGTGACTACTCTCTTCCAAAATGGCTCGGAAATGAGTCATTGGGCTCTTTCCAAGGTTACCGAAAAACACTGAAATACGACCTTGGGCTCCAACATATTCATGCTTCACACCAACTTGCAAAAGGGAATTCTCAAACAGCACTCCAGACGGCGTTGTGCATAGATTGGAAAATGCCTTTCTCATGGCGGGAATGACATCCTTTGGAATACCGACTGTAGGTTTCTCCGATGGATCGGCACCAGGACTTCCATCTACATGGATTTACAAATATGATTTTGGTTAGGTAAAATACAACATGATGACGAGTTTCGTTTCTGCACAAAACGACTCGCTACTCGAACGCTTACCACTAATGGGACTGATTGGATCGTCCTCTTCATTTGCTGCCGCCGATTGCTGTGCCGCAACTTCTTCTGCAGCTCTGGCAGCAGCCGCACTTTGAGCAGCCCGCTTTCTTTGTTCGGCACTGGGTCTTGCAGCCTTGGCGACTGCAGCACTATCATCACCTTCCTTCTCACGAAGTCGTTGTTCCAATGCAGATTGCTTGTTATCCTCAAAAGGAGGCATTTCTCGAAGCAAATCCTCGACAGCCTCGGGGCCAAAAGCTTCTCTCATGGCGGCATACTCCGCCGAACGTTGTTGAATCTCGACTTCGACCGAGTTCTTGCATCGAGCAAAGACGGGCGCCACCAATGGCCGACATTCTTCGTACAAGTTGGCCAGTTTGGCATAGGTACTGACCAAAATGGAACGAGTATGCTCGTCCGAAGTAGCCCAGTGTTGATGCAATATACGGAATTGTTCTTCTCCACTCATACCAGGTCTCTCGGCCACCAAGAACCCAAATTCTCCCAATACATATGCTGCCACACGAACAGCAGTCTCATGACAACGACGTGGACTTGCCGCCACCAACAAGGTTGCTGCAGTGTAGGCTTGCAGATCTCCTTGTGGATGGTTGGTAGTAATCTGCACGACGCGGTGCCAAATGGGATCACTGACATGGTCCCCACTAATGGAAATCAACTTTAGAATCGTGTCGACATACCATCGAAGATCCGTGGCATATTTTTCTGCCAAAATGGCAATCTTCAAGACCATTTCCTCCCGAATGGCGGCATCGGCCATGGGCAAGTGAGCCACAAGCTCATCGACGATGCGTTCGGCATTGTCGGTATCGCACATGACAAATAGCAAATCCAAGGCACGACGACGGACACTGATATCCGCATCCTTGAGGGACACCAGGACAGTCGCTTGATGCTTCTTGATGGAGCGAGCAGTCCCGTCCAATTGAGCGAGCTTGGCCATAGTGAGCAACCCAAGGTAACGAATATTGGGTTCTCGAACCGAAATGAATTTTCCAAGAAGCTTCATTCCACCCTCTCGGAGTTGTGGTGGTCCTGCCGATCCCCAAGTGCAAATCAAGTTGACCGCTTCAAACAACACCGAGTGATCAGCATTGGACTTGTTGATGGAGTCCGAAACATCCGTTTCTGTCAAAATCTTGGACACGACATTGGACAATTGGGCAATGTGTTCCTGAGTTCCCTTGGGAGCTCCAACTTCTTGTCCGCTGTTCAATGCTTGGGGATACAATTGGAGGTACTTCAGGAGTTTGATTTGGAGCCATGGACTGGGTGTGCGGTAATACAAATATTCTCGAGCACAGGCCTTTTTCAATACCAACATTCCCAAAATGTGAACGGCATACGGGATCAAGGATTCGTACTCTCTTGGATTCTGCGAGGCCAATCCATACAACAAACTCATGCAACTGGTCAAGACACCCAAGTGACGATCTTGGAGCAATTGTGCCATGTGAGGAGCAAACTCGCGACCGGAGACCAATTTGGGACTAGTTCGGACCAAACGCAAAAGACAAAGCGCTGCCTTCTTTTTGACATGGGGAGTGGAGGACTTGGCCACCAGGGTATGTTGGACTTCCGCATGCAAAGTTTGAATCAATTCCAGTCCAGATAGACTGGCAATGGTACAAAGAGCCAAAGATTGTGCTGTGTCTGTAGTTGGCGCGTTATTCTTGGCAGTGGCAGGCATAGGGGTTGTCATATCCTTCCGAATGGTACCGAGAATGGCATTCATCAATGGATCATCTCCTCTCAAAAGCAAGGCCAAAGCAGTGTATCCAACACTTTTTTCCGAGTATTTGTTGGATCGAACCAATGCTAGAATTTCTGGATGCCCAAAGTCGACATCGTATCCCAAAATGTGAATGTAAACCAACTTCCAGACGTATTTCTTTCGCTGATAGGAGGACAGTGCCGTGTTGGATCCATCTTCTCCTAGTTGTTTGGGCGTAGCTGTAAACTTTTTTCGAATATTGGCCAATTCCTTATCGACACGTGCTTGTTCTTCTTCCTACAACATGATAGATAGAGGAAAAGAGAGAGAGAGAGAATGAGGACAAGTGAGACACCAAAGTTGTTGTTTCATTTTCATCCTTTTTCATCCTTTTGGTTTTTGGAAATTCCAAGATGATTAGGGATTGAATTAGTCCCATCGAAGAAATTTACTTAGGGCGCGACGTCGCAGATATCATTCCGAAAACAACGACATGAAGAATATATAAAAAGGCGGCCACTTCCAGTCTTCCAAAACTCATCATCGCTCACCTTGGATTTGGCATTTCGAAGATCGGAAATGAAGTTCTGTAATCCTCTTGCTTGAGTTGACATTCTGTCTCGCTATTGTGAAAGAAAGAATGCAGAGGTTTGTTTCGTGGAAGAGAAGAAAAAAGAGGACGATTTGATTCGATGCAATGCGTTCCCCGTTCGTTGCAGTCGTCAGTCCAGTCTTGAGATGAGGTGTGGTGCGATAATCGATCATTCCGAGCTTTTTCGCTAACGGAAGCGCTCGTAGGTAAATACGTCCGTTGAGAGGTGTCTTGACGTGGATTCAAATCCAATGAGTCGTCATTGGTGTTGGGTATGATTTAGTTTCTTTTCGGGATTGGTCATCCTCATCATCACAACAGACAATAATGTGCTTGATGATGGCTCGCTGAGCTACCAATGTGTATAATAAAACTCCAAGCATGATTTTAAAAAAGAAAAGAGCTGCCCAACGATAGGAAAAAACTATGAAGATTAAATAGTTCGACATGTAGTACAGTGCGATGGTGCGTGGCTGCTATGCTCCTGAATCAATCATACCGTTTCAACTAAAGTACTATAGATGGATGAAAACTGCTTCGATATCTCTCGCACAATAAGTCAATGTTTGCCATTGGTGTGAGATACTTCTCTCTCACCTAGCAAAAAAGGCCGCATCAACCAACCATCATGCATGTCCTTTCTTCACTCCTTGTTGCTTGCCAAACCGAGCACGACTGGACCAAAATCAAATCCAATGAGTCGTTCCAAATGTAAGAATAGTCTATCTGGAGCATGGTTCTGGCGGAGCTTCAGTACTATACCTGGTATGATACTGATATTGTTTCTGAAGGAGAGATTTCAGGTGCCTTCAACAAAGCTGTCCAACGATAGGGAAAAAAATCCGAGCAGTAGCTAGTAGATGCTAGCAGTTGGTGCTCTGCTCCTTGTTGCCTTGGCTGTTGGCGCATTCCGAGATGATAGATGTTGAATGGCGTTTCATAACAATGAATTGCGACTGACAGAGAACTGCTCGATAATCTCTCCATCAAACATTGTTTGCCATTGTTATGCTGTTCTGCCTAGCTAAAGGGTCACATCAGTTCAGTTGCCTTTTGATTTCTTTCATGATGTACCGGTATGTTGCGAAACCGAGCACGACTGGCCCAAGTCTGTCCATGGCTTCGCTACTGTTTCGAGTCTTGGCATTACTGTAATTAATTAAGCTCGTATGTGGAAGACATGTCTCCACCAATGGGAGGAGCCGATCTGTGAACCCGAGAGCGAATCCAGTCGCGGTTTCGCTCACGCTTCCGGTTTGGATTCGGGCCAAAGTGATTTGGATTTTTGGTCAAAAACCCTTTCCCCAACATTTTTGGTCAGTCGCACATACACACACACACAAACAATAAGCTACTGCAACCTGTCGCGTCAAATCATCATCGTTCGGAAGCAGCAACAACAGCAGCAACAACAGCAGCAACAACGACAAACAGATACAAGCAGCAACAACAAGAAAAACAACAAGAAGAAGAAACAATAGCAACATGGTTCGTCTCTTGTCTGCCTTGATGGGACTGGTGATTCTACAGACTGCCGCCGTTCTATCATCCGAAGCACAGGAATGCACTCTGGAATGCCCCATAGATGCTCCTTGTCAAATTGGTTCGGCCAACTTGGCAGCACACACAATTTCCCTTGGAGAAGGTGCCCCTTCCAATACCAACGGCATGCACTGCGCTTGTCCCTATGGATGGACGGGCGTCCTCTGCGATCACAAGTACGAATCCTGTGACGAAGGACACAAGTGTTATCACGGAGGAGAATGCGTTCCCGGAATGAAGGACAAGTTTGGAAACGACCAACTCTTTTGCGATTGCATCAATGCTGAGGAATCTGATGGAACTCGCTATGTTGGAAAATACTGCGAGACGCCTTTTGAAAAGCTCTGTGACGCGGATGGAAATACTTTTTGTGTCAATGGTGGTGGTGAGTGCTAAATTTTTCATTTCTTTTGTTTTCATTGTTGATATGATGGTTTTGTTGCGGATAATGTTATCTACACCATCATGCTCACCGCTTGTGTGCCAATATTTTGAAACAGATTGCAATCCAAGTTTTCCAACCTACGATCCCAATCCTTGCATTTGCCCGGATGGCTGGGAAGGCACTCATTGCGAATTCAAAAGGGGAAGCGTCCCGGACTGTACCCTGGATTGCCAAAATGACGGCCTTTGCGTAGTTGGCATTCGAGATCCCTCCGAAGCCAAGACGATGCGTCACGTTTGGTCCCAACAAGAAATTGACGATCACATGCAATGTCTCTGTACGCAAGATTTTGGTGGACCACTTTGCGAGGCCTCGGCCGAAGATTGTGGTGGTGATACCTGTTACCACGGTGGAAGCTGTGTGGAAACCAAATACACGAATTCCATGGGTGTCTCCACCCAAGAATATCACTGCGACTGTACCACTGCTGCCGACCAAGACAAACTGTTTGCTGGCAAATACTGCCAATATCCTTCGGAAAGATCTTGTTCGGACAGCAATGAAAATTTGTGGTGCACCAATGGCGGAACCTGCAGTGCCGATTCCACGAAAGGATGCGATTGTCCTCCCGGGTACAAGGGCTTCAAGTGCGAGTACCGGGACGAATCGTACTTTGATAACAATGACAAGGACATGGATCATTTTGAAAAATGCGGCGATGTCTATTGCTTCAATGGCGGAGAATGTGTTACTACCACCCTCCGACTCACGGACGGAAGTATCGAGGCTCAACAGAGCTGTGATTGCACTCACACCTTTGACGGAGTCCATTATTGGGTCGGATCTAGTTGTCAATACAAATCGACCAGCACCTGTGGTAATACCGACAAGATGTTTTGTGCCCATCAAGGAGAATGTCCCACTCTGGAGAACGACAGGAGCTGCAAGTGTCCTGATGGATGTAAGTGAAAGTGAAAATCAGGGGATGGAATGACACGCCAAGAGCAAGAGCAAAATGTCTAACTCTTTTTTTATTACTGCTCGTCATTGTTGTTCATAGGGGAAGGAGATCACTGCGAAATTCATATTTACGCTCTCGAAGATGAATATCCAAATGATCCCACCTGCGGCGAGAAAGTTTGCTTGAATGGAGGATCTTGCGTGGAGACACGAGTGATCCGAGGCGCCAATACACTTTCGGAATTCCACTGTGACTGTTCCACCGCCTTTGATGACAATTTTCACTTTGCTGGAGAGTCTTGCCAATATCCTTCGACTCAGACATGCACCCACGATGGCGATTCCATGGAAGGAAGGAAATTCTGCACCAACTTTGGAACTTGTCAAGACGATCCTAATGCTGGATGCAAGTGCCCAGCAGGATTCAAGGGCTTTTCTTGCGAATTTGAAGATCTCGTCAATGATCCAGTCATTGAGAACCAACCAGATGGCTACGAGACTTGTGGAGACGACCTCGTTTGTCATAATGGTGGTACTTGTGTTACGTCACTTTTCTATGCGGAAGATGGAACTTCCTCCGAATCCAAGCATTGCGATTGTAGCACAGCCATTACCGAAACCACTGCTTGGGCCGGGAAAATGTGCGAGTTTGAAGCTTCCAAGTTCTGTACCAAGCCATTGGAAGGAATGGGATTGGAGAGCACATACTACTGCGTCAACAACGGGGACTGTAATCCGAATGATGTCCGTCAAGGTTGCGATTGTAAAGCTGGATTTACTGGCTTTCGATGCGAGTTTCTTGAAGAAGCTAGTGACATCTTGGACGATCCTGCCAACAACAATAACGAAGTAGCTTGCGGAGATTTGACTTGCTACAATGGCGGAAAATGCGAGACTATTGACACGACAGATACCAACACTGGTGAAACGTCTATTCTCTACGAATGCAACTGTGTTGGAGCCACCGATGGATCCTATTTCTTTGCTGGCCCTGATTGCAATTATCAATCTTCAGATATTTGCTCGCAGGATAACCCAGCAGGAATGTTTTGTGTCAATGGTGGTCAATGTGATGGCATCGACAATTGTAAATGTCCTTCGGGATGGACCGGCAGCATGTGCGATGTTCTTGTCAAGGATGACCAACACGCCGACCAAGGAGAAAAATGCGGAGAAGGTTACTGCTACAACGGTGGACAATGTGTTCAAACACAAATCAACATGCCAGGTGGCAACACCGTTACCGAGTATCACTGTGACTGTGCGTCTGCGTTTGATGACACCCATCGCTACGGAGGCATTTCCTGTGAGCACAAGTCGACAAGCTTCTGCTCCCGATCCAATCAAGGAGATTCCCTGGCAAGCGTGGTGTTCTGCGCCAACAATGGAAAATGTGACGATGAGAATCCCGATCGTGGTTGCAACTGTAAACCTGGATGGACTGGTCTTGCCTGCGAATTCCGCGATGAGCCAGACGGAGAAGCCGAAGATAATGGAGCTGACAATGCAGAGCCATGCGGAGATTTAGCTTGTTTCAATGGTGGCCAATGTGTCTCTACTACCATCACCGATGCGTCGGGACAAAAGAAGGACATGAACCATTGCGATTGTTCCAGCGCCTTTACAGATACTGACACGTTTGCAGGCGCTCAATGCGAGTACAAGCAAACTACTTTCTGTTCGGAACCGGCGCAAGGAGAAGACCTATCCGCCGTCCAGTATTGCACCAATAATGGAAGCTGCCGAGAGAACATTCTTTCTGGATGCGATTGCCCAGATGCCTTCTTTGGCTTTAGATGCGAATATGCTTCAGACGCTACTGAATTGGTGGACAAGGCCGACGATCCATTGATTGTCGACGAATACGTGGAGTGCGGGGATGACTACTGCTACAATGGTGCAACTTGTGAGACTTTTGTTCTTGGAAATGGTCAGTCGGACTACCGTTGCAACTGTGATACTGCCGCAACTGGCTCGAGTCTCTTTGCAGGCAAGAATTGCCAATATGAAATGACTTCCCTTTGTACCAGCGGCACTCTTGATTCACTCAGCACAGCAGACTTCTGCGTCAATGTAAGTTTTTGAAAGATGATGGCTTTGCTGATGCCTTGATGTCATTACCAAAGGCCGTGGCTAACATCTGAATGCAACCTTCTTTCCATTCGCAGAATGGTAAATGTCCTGAAGGCGACGATGACGTTGGCTGCTCTTGTCCTTCTGGTTACACTGGCTACCGATGCGATGAACCAATCTACGCAAATGAAGACAACGAGGACAACGTCATTCCTAACGATCCTGAAGAGCGAGAGGACGACACAGACTTCTATCGTTGCAAGCTGGATTGCAAAAATGGTGGTCAGTGTGCCAAGGGTGCTAAGGATCTATCCCATTTGGATGGTGCAGTTGATCACGTGGCTCACTTGAATCAAACCTATGACGAACGATACTTCGAACATTGTGAATGCGAGGAAGGATGGGTAAGGCTGCAATGAAATCATTAAAATTAGCACGTTGACAATGCTAACGTGAATGTTTCTCTTTCAGTTTGGGTTGGAATGCGAACACAAAGCCGAAGTGTGCGGTGCCGACGAGCATCTCTGTCTTCATGGCTCGAAGTGCGTCAAGAATAATCAACAGCACGGTTGCGACTGTTCTCAAGCCGACGAGGCGCTTGGAGTCAAAGATAGTAGCTTGTTCGCTGGAGATTCGTGTCAGCATCCCGCTACTGATATTTGCACATACGGAAATAACGTCCCAGGACGCCCATTGTACTTCTGCACCAATCAAGGAACCTGCAACGATTACGTCTCTCCCTCGGACCCAAATCCAGGATGCTCATGCCCTCCTGAATGGACTGGACCACACTGTGAAATGAGATTTGATGCACAAATATCGGAGGATACAAAATCACCAGCATCGAATTCTAACGTTGCAATGGGGCTTGCAATCGCCTTCCTGATCATGGGAATCATGGCATTTACCTACATTTTCATGAACAAGCGACCAAGGGATCCTTCCAGTACTTGCATGCCATTCCGCAGACGCAAAACACATTCCGGATTTGATCCTGATGATGACAGCAATAACATTGCTCCCAAGCGGTCGACCTTTGCCAGTCCCTCCAACGATATGAACCCACCACCATCGAGAACTTTTGCCTTGCGAAGTGGATCAGATCCAATGTCGGCATTCCAACTGGATCCTGATGACGAACCTGAGCAGTTCCGAGATGATCCCAGATCATCATATCGTGATGAGCCAACATCAGGGTACCGTGATACTCAATATCAAGACGACCCTGATGATGAGCCAGATTCCCCGGTCTTTGTCGATGTTGGTCCATCTAGAGATGAAGATGGGAATCAACTCAATGATGTTGAATTCATCTAGGCCTGGGGGACCCATGTAAAATAGACTGGACAATATGTACTAGATAACGATTCACAACAACTATGGATTTCACTTTCCATTGCGGGAACATCAGTTCTTGTTCCACACAGATGTTCATGATTATTGTTCGATGTTCCGTTGCGCAACTGGAAAGCCACCGACATGATGACGGTGCTCGGGAAGAGGTTTGGAAGGCACATGTGTACGATCGATTACAATCTCGGTGATACTCAAGAGCATAACTCGCCTATGGCAAGCTTTTCAGTTCGGGTTTCACATAGGTAGATAATTGACCGTTCTTCCTTTCCCCAACTGGAAAGCGATTGAACTCCAGGTACTGCACCCTCTTCGGGGACACCTGCGACCTACAATTGGTTACAGAGATTAGTATGCGCTTGTGATATTTGACCCACAGAAATCTCGGTGATTCTCAGCTGGATCAGACTTCGTAACTTTCCATTGAATTTTTTTCTTTTCTCGCTTTTCTGCTGTTCGCAGGACAATAAAAAGCAACGCTTGTAAAACATGGAATGGAAGCAAGCGAAGCAAGCTTCTGATGCGAACCCAATCCTGTTCTCTAGCTTGGTTTCGTAGGTACGTGTCGAAGCGGAGCAATCTTATTACCATTGTGTTTGCGTTTGCACTTATTGACACGAACAAAAACTTCCTCCGAAGTGACTTTCTAACGAAGAAACCCTGGAATGCGATTCAAGGAGCCCACATTTCCTACGCAGCATATCACTCGCCCGCATAAAAAGAATAATCACATAAACCAAATCATCATCGTCATCATGTCGGACCCTAGCAACGAAGACGATCAACAGCACACCAGACGAAAGAGATATGAGAGAAAACAGCACAGACTGTTGCGAAAAGGGATCGCAATGAATAACAAAGCAATTGCTGATCTTTCATTTGGTTCCAAGCAGCAAGCGCCATACGAGGCGCTGAAGAAGAGCTTCCAAATACTGCGAAGAGCTGCGACTAAGACTGGTGGCCTTGATAGAGCAACATGTGATGCAGCCAACGTCTGTCACGATGCTTTTCCACTTCACTTTGCCAGAGAGCAGTCCTTCCAAGATGGCTACATCTATAACAGTCTGCTGTCTATTGACGAAGAGCAGCTCCCATCGAACCGAAGGTTTGCCGGTGATCTATGCTTTTCTATCATCGTATTCAATCTGGCATTGATCAATCACAACGAGAGCTTAACTAACATGAAGAGCAATAATGAACATGGCGCATTGGCCAGCAACCTGTACAATCATGCGATTGGTGTTCTTGGCCACATGGAAAACAGAGGGACGACAGCACTTGTCAGGATAGCAGCACTAAACAACTTGACGCAACTGAGATTTCAGGTTGGGAATTATTCCCTTGCAAGGGAGAGTTTGCAGCATCTTGCCCTGATCGTGTCAGCTGGTTCCTTAGAAAAAGACCAACGGGCGAAGCGACCAGTAATCGATGAAGAAGCTAAAAAGGGAATGATCATGAATATCTTGTCTCTCAGTAATCAACATGTCGCAGCTGCCGCTTGATTTTAAAACTGAATTTTAAAAAAAACGCTAACTACATATTTGTCTATCCTCACTACAAAACCTTGCAGTTCTGGACTTTGCCAGAGGACAAATCCCTTTCGAATTGAACCACTGATTCGGTTTCTGTTGTACGGTCGTACAGGGATGCCTCCTGCCGTGTCCCACAAAATGCTGAGGACTAACCTAGGCACAGAGGCGATAGAAGGATTGCTAATGCGGTATTATGAGCTTTTATCGAGAACTACTCCACTGGACAGAACGCGGTAGCCATACTGACATCAGAAGAGTAGAAGGCTGTTTGTCCTGGAGGTTACACAGCCACAACTCTCACTGCAGCCTTGATAAGAGTGTATTCGTCAGGTCGTCGCCACGTCATTGTCGGCTCGTAGGCGTAGGTACTAATAGATGCACCCGACATTTGGCAAGCTTACGTTTGACAAGACTACTGTTGACATGCTGAGTAAGAGGGCGTTTGTAAGAGTACTCATATCAGAGTAGAGAGGTTGATTCGATTGATCTGACTCGACTAGTTGGTTAATGTGAGCCACGGCACCAACTTCTTGGAGTACGGCGTAGTGTCCGAATTAAAAGTTCTCATTTGAGCATTTTCGATTCCCCGCGTGTGCTTTTTATCTGGTAAAAAACATTGAGCCAGTAACGCGAACTTCAACAATGTTTATCCGATAATTGCCGATCAAGTCCAGATATATAAGACTTTTTTAGCGGTGAAAATAAATCGAGTGAGTCGATCTGGTGGATTACTACTGTACCTGGTACGTGTACCGTTACTATCTTCGTTCTTCTCCATTCATCCACTTCTCCCAAATCGAACACGACAAGCTACATTCATTCAACATATAGTACCATCATACGGATTCCGTGCTGTGATTCACTGTGATTGTATGCTCATTGACTGTCAAATTTCAGAACGAAACATTGAATCCCAGAACAAAAGAAAGAAAACAACAGCTATAAAAGTGTATTCAGAGGGAAGAATGCTTCAAAACTCCCCTCCTGACGAACCCTCAAGCAGTTCCAGTTCCGATGTGACAAATCGTCGCAAATCATCCAAGACAACACATGAAGAGAAAGGTCTGATACGGTCAGTTCTAGAACAAGAACACTTTTCAGATGAAGAGGGGAGCTATCATTCTGATCATGACTCGCATGGTCAAATTGGCTCCGCTCGAACACCCTGGTATGGCACGACTGTGGTACTGTTATCAGAGGTCATGGGAACAGGGGTGCTCAGTCTTCCTTTTGCAGCGAGGACACTGGGGTGGATATGGACGTTAGTTGCAGTTCCAGTATTTGCTGTAGTTGCAGCATACTCCGGATGGCTGCTGGCCTTTGTCAAGCGTGAGCATAAGGACTTTGGAAGTTATGCGGATGCATCCACAGAACTGTTGGGCAATACATTTGGGGCATTTACCAGGGCTTGCATGCTGGTCAATTGGGGCGCACTAGCAGTTTACTACATGATTGCCCTGTCAAATGGAATTGGTGATTTGTTCCAGGGAATGTGCGACTATGAACGGACAATAATTGCTGCCTTTCTGCTGGTTTTGCCGTGTCAATGGTAAGACGTATATTGAGTCAAAAGTGAAATGAATGAATATTCATGTCGCTGACACTCAGCCTTGCAACAGTCGCGATTTCTACAATATTTCCAAGTACTTGAGCGTCCCATCTACCTTGGCAATTGTACTGCTTCTTGTCACTGTCATGGTAAACTTGTCAGAAGATGAAACGGAGCCTTTTGCCCAATCCACGTCACTGGAACCACTTCCGAATACAAGTCTCTTTGATTTCCTGGCGGCACTTTCAGCATTTGTGTTTGCATACCAAGGTCAATCTATCTATTTGGAACTGATGTCAGAGATGAAGGACTCTAGGTGAGTTGAAACCTTGTGCACGCTGCGTGACCCATTACTTCAACGAATTTCCCATCCCACATCATGTTCTTATCCGACCATGCAACATTTTAGTCAATTTCCAATGGCTTGTTCTTCAGCCTACTTTTGCATGTGCATTGTCTACGCAGCGACGGTTGTCGTTGCCTATGGTGTCAAGGGTTCAAGTACGCCCGAGTTTTTGCCAGACTCGATGCAAGATGGATTGGCAAAGAGAATAGCAGGCGCATTGGTCATCTTACACATTGCAGTATCCTACGTTATTTGTTGTCAGCCTCTTCATGATTGGTTGCATTCCACGATATTCCCACGGACCTATCATGACGAATCAAGGCTTGGATCAATGCATTGGTTCCTCATCACGACTGGATATTTGGTATTTGGCTTTGTAGTCGGCAATCTAATTCCATTCTTTGCCGACGTCCAAGCGCTGATAGGATCACTGTTTGGGGCTCCCACTATCTTTGGCTGGCCTGCCATCTTCTTTGCAATGATATATCGACGAAAGGCGACGTCATGGCAAGAGGCTATCTCGCTCATGGGCTATGGCCATGCATTTGTTTGCGGTATCTTCTTGTTCATTTGCACACCTCTATTTTGCATACTCGGCACGACTGGAGCTGTGCAGGCAATCATTGAAGACTCCAAAGAAGCAATGAATCCATTCCAATGTAGTTAGTACCAAACCAAGTTCTAAATGAAATATAAATATACGACCACTTTGAATGTAGGACTAGGAAACTGTAGTAGCTATATTTAAAAGTAGTAAAAATTCTCAAAAGCGATCATTCCGATGGATCTCGCAAGAGGTGGCAAAATTGAGATGGCGCTGGAGCGTGAGTGCGCCAAGGTCAAAACTTCGTGAATCACGATATTCACACAGAGCAAAACTGACGCAGATAAAAATTATCAAAGTGTAAAGCGTCGGCATTGAACAGGGGGTTGGATTGTTTTGGAGCCGCTTTCCCACCGCGATTCCTTTGTCAAGTCTTCAGTGATCCTTTGGCTCCGACTTTTGCCTTCAGGCAGCCTTCGTTGAGGCAGTGGTCTCTGAAAAGATTTGGCATTGTCGGCCACAATTTGAACATTTTGTAACGATTGGATGTCATGAAATGAGTGGGATGGGCACATTGCTTGAGTTGCAACTCCTTCTTCGTCTTCATCAATTCGAAACAACGATGACATGAATAGTTGCATTGGTTCCGTCATAATATTTTGGATTTATTTTTTATGCCAACGTCAGTGGATTTAGATTACTCTCCGAAGTTGCTACCAGTAATCGTGAGGAATAGTCCTGTTTGATACAGTCACAATTGTGTCGAATAATTTGTTCTGTCAGTAGCTTTTTATGTCCTCCAGAATTTTAGTCCCCTCACGTGGAATAAACCTTGATAAAAAAACTTTCGTATGTTATATATATTAGACCGCTGTTCGTTTCTGATAAGAAGTGTTTAGTGGCATGAAAGAACCCCATTCAACACATGCATATGTTACCCCCTCCGTGGTGCAATACTGACGTCGACATCGGATATCAAGTGACGTCAGGCGTTGGTACGTAAAAAGCTTCCGTGTCGCATCTGTCCGTCAGACCTACAGTAAGTCGACTAGTCTGAATATCATCACCATTTCGCAGCTCTGAAATGAATGTATGCGATGGCAACAGAACCCAATAAACCAAAAGCAAGAGCATAGAACCATCCTACCAATCTGCTCAAATGCTATCATTACCGGCTTCGGTTGTTTGCTACTCCCTCTGCCCCTTCTTGGGACCTTCTGATCTTCTGAATCTCCGAGTCACAAACTCAAGGTTACTCGAGGTGTTACACGATGAAGCAGGTGAGTATGGTTCCTGTTCGATTCTTCTTCAGCAAGGCTTAGTCTTTTCTAAATCATTTAGCTTCTATTCAATAATGAATTGGCTCACCCTTTTATATGCAACCGCATTCAAACGGCAGAATCGGAAGAACTTTGGAAGGTGATGTTGATCAGGGACTTTGGATTTCAAAAGGATGCCAAAACTGATGACTGGTGGCAGCAAACCCTAAGGGTCGAGTTCCCAATTCCAAGCTGTTCTTCTGTATTTGGCATTGATCCAGGAATGGAAAGTCCACTGTTGGATGCGAAAAGTGCTTTTGATTCGTGGAAGGTATGGCTAAGGGCCAGTCGACGCTTCTTTGAAGATCTTCCGAACGGAGAGGATGCTAAGCAACTGATACATGGGCCATATTTTCTTAGAGCAGCTCGAATGTGGCAGCAAATATACTCATGGTGCAATCACAATCCGTCTTTGGGAACCATGATAAAGCAATCATTCCAACGGGGGTTGCGATTCAAGGATTGGGATTCACGGTATCGATCTGAGAAAGGACTACAAGCAGCCCAGGCAATCTACGCCTATTGCGGTGGCCAAAAAGTAGCAATGTATTCGATCGATGGATTTGATGGCTTATTTGGAGGATATCAAGCATACAATTATTACTGCAACTCTCATTTGGCACCGCCTGGGAAGCCGCTGGGGGACAATAAACACATGGTGGTGTCACAATGCATCTTCTCAAACATGAACAGAATGCCCAAGATATTTGCGGTGAACATGGAAAGTGGTTGTCTATCATTGCTTACTCCCTCTCAGCCAAAGACCCGGGCAATCAAAGATACAAGTGTAGCGCCAGAAGAGGAATTGTTGATCTGGATGGAGGAATTCACGCGTCGGCTGACCGCTGGAATGATTGGTACTGGGACAATGGGGTCAACTCCACAAGATCCTGCAAGCATCACTCTGTATCCAAGATGGACCAATCCTCCACCAATTTTACTGCCCGAACAGAGGGTGCCACATTGCAGCTACTCTGTCACACGAGGTGTTGAAGTCGTTGCTAGCGCGATATATGCACCGCAGGCAGTTGAAAGCTTTGGGTTTATTTACAGCATCCGGATCCGACTCGTAACACCCACATCTCGTGACTCTCGCACTGGCGACCATGGTGATAGCTCCAACTACATGTCTCCATCCGAGCGGGGCTTTGAAACTTGCCAGTTGCACATGCGGCAGTGGCAGATTACCAACTTTGAGAGCGGGCATACTGATAGCGTGCATGGTGAAGGAGTGATTGGAATGTTTCCAATATTACGCGAGGGGGGCTATACAGATGGTGGGGAAAGTTTTGATGGTGCCTTTCAGTACCAGTCATGTTCTGGACCAATACAGAAAGGATCGTTCGGCGGATCGCTTACGTTCGTCCCTGGGTGTATCGATCAACCAACTGGACCACCGTTCGAGGTGGAATTGAAACCATTTTTGCTTGATAACAGTCCTGCTATTCTTTACTAGACGTTAATAGCAGTATCATTTTTACCCTACTGGTACACTACTGGTATTTCAACTTCTGTAGGTAGTAAGTAGTCCATATAATGGGCTACCGAAATGGACGCAATAATACGAACACTTTTGCCGCTGTTGCTCGTACCAGGTACCATTGCAGAATCCACAATACTGTAGACTGTAGTACTGTAGGCAGCCGGAATGGACGCAAGAATACGAACATTTTTTCCAGAGTTGTTCCCGCCTTTCAGTAAGCCCACTTTTGCGAGTAATATTGATCACGCTGTTTGGTGTCACCTGTTAAAAGTCTCTGTTAATTAATACCAGTAGAGCTCTCTTTGGCTGTTCAGCTCAACCACAATCGCACTTCCGTTGTCATTGGCGGAAGTTCTAGGTTTTATTTAGTAAAGTCGTGTTCTTGATTGCGAAAGTTTCTAGTCCTGAGGAATAAATCTTCCACTCCTCGTGAAAATGCCTTATGAAGGTCATAACCGTTCTTTGGTCGGCCAAAAAAACTTGAGGTTGACCATAAAAAACTTGCTCGTCTCCACGCAACAATCGCGGTTCGTTGTTGGTTCTCCGGTACTCACTGACATCAACTACATAATGCAGATGTTTTCGATTTAAGGATGCGCATCTTCCAGATTCCGGAAGAGAACCAGAAGTGACATCGAGCTTCGATCAGTCACAATCCAGAAAAGCCTTCTTCCCGTCCCAGAAACAGCATCAAACGCGAAGTTTTGCGTACCAGAACGAATAGTGTCAAAAATTCACCGCTACTTGCACCTTTTGTTTGCAGCATGGTGGCCATGGTTGACAGGGGCAGCACAGCATGGCAATTGATTCCAACCTGGAGCAAGGATTCCAGGGATTCGAATGCGATGCGGTTCTTGACAGCATCCTTTGTTCCCGGCAAGTGGGATGTTATTTGTCACTCTGGGAAAGAAAGTCAACAACATAGTAAGTGGCCCCGCATTGCTTGCCGTAGCCCTCATGTGTAGCACGGTGTTAGGCAGAAACTTATCCAACCCATGTACGCATCTCTGATTCATCGACAGTCGGAAACAGAAGGTTTAGTCTATGCATCCAGAATCACCTGAAGTCATATGCGGGATCAAATTCACGGCCAGCAAGATCCGCCATTATCACGAATGTAGTTGCATCCATACGAGATGTTTCCGAGGGGGGTTTTGTTAGATTGGATCTTGCCTCAGGCCGTTGGTACGAAGTGGGCGATAAGATGGCCAGAGACAAGGTAAGGAAAATTCCAAGTCATTTGTCGTATGATCGATACTTCAGCCATGCCTGCAATCTAGCATTGCAACATGAATCGTGCATACAGTGTATCGAATAAAGAGCTAACAGCCTCCATTGCGACTGGTCTTGGTCACTTTCACAGGTTGGGCAAGCTCTTCGTGATGCCATGAACTCTGACACTCAAGAAAGAAGCATGTCTCCTCCTCAAGAGCAGAGGAAACGCAAACGACCTTCATGTGGAGGCTCCAACTCGCCAAACACGAAGCAAAACTCCACTCCGGATACTCCGAAGCAGATGGAGAAGACACACATTGCGCTCGACATCAATCCAAGACACAATGCGTGGCCCAATTCAAATGAAATGCCAATGCGTTTGAATCCTCCTTTCACTACAGGAGAATCAAGGGTCCAGACGGACAGTCTTCGAATTGTAAGAGAGCCTACGGACTCTGGGTTTAGAGATGGGAAAGTAAATGATGCAAATAATAAATGTTTTGTGAGTGTCATTGGTAAATCCACGGAAGCAACAGCAACAGCAACAGTCAAAGCAAAGGGACAAGCTAAAGCTGACCAATCTCCAGGAGATGCCAGTGGTAACAGCGGGAGGTCCTCTACTTCTGACTCCCATCAATTGAGCCTGATTGAATGGTTTGAAAAGGATGTACAGAACGCTCCATTATGATCAGGTATCAAATTCTTTCCTTTTGCTTTCATTTTTGCATAACATTTTTAATAAATATTAGCCATGTATCATACATTATCTCTGTACATACGAGTCCATTTCCTTGAATACTGGAAGAATACTATAACAAGTCATGGTCCATTTGCTTTGTCGTGCAGTGGAATGTCTTGCATATGCTGATTTGTGATCTTGAGGTGCAAATCCAAATGACCGTCATCAGGCTTCCATTTGCCAACCTCGATTTCGCATGGCACCAAGACGCCGCTCCTTGGATCCTCATCGTTTCCACGCAATACTTGATAGTTGCTGTACTGAACTTGCCAAGGATGTGGTAAACATGGTGATGTCACCCTGATGCTCTGCAGCAGGTACGTCGTTGGATCAAATTGCAGCTCCATTTCAAATCGTTCATTCGTGGCCCTATCAACCATGGTTCCAGAGCAGGTGGTGAGATCTTGTACGGAGTTCCAGGTAATCAGTGGCTGACTGGTTTCTGATTGTTCCGGGCTCTCGCTATTGGGATCAAAGGTTGATGGTATCAGAGGTGCCATGGCCAGCCAAAAGAGAATGTAAGGTTCCTCTTCTTCGACTTGAATCAATGGTACCTTTCCCCAAGCTTTTGTAATGATGCCCCCTTGACCATTGCTATAAGTTTCGAGTACTTTGTTGGGCATCCCCATGATTGTGACGGAAGCTTCCCAAACGAATCCAGGGAAATCATCTTGATGGAATACTGTCTTAGTGAGAAGATTCGATCGAAAGGGGTACCATTGTTGCGATGCAAAGAACATTCCCGTCTGATCCACTGAAACAACTCGGGCTCTCTTTTGGACAGACTTGGAATCATTGGGAGTTGTTCCTGGAACATTTGCCATCGCCGTGTCAAGGTACTTTCGCAAGGGCATCGGCAACCTATCGTGGGATTCTTGAGTAGCACTTTTCGTAGTATTCTTCTCCTTTTCTCTCAGCAGTGCTATATCCAACAGCTTTTCCTTTTCATTCCAGGCATCCCGATCCCAGTCACTATCCCGTAAATATAGCCACGACCCCAAAGCAACCGTGATAATCAGAAACAGGTCAACCTTTCCTCGTCTTGAAAGTTTTGGCGGTTCCTGCTTTGTTTTCTTCGAGGATGAAAACGAACGGCGGGTGGAAAACCCTTGGAATGATTTGCTCCTGAAACAATAGAATGGCCGATCGGACCTTATCCATCGTGATGGGACCGCATGGTGAAGCAGTCGAGAAGAGGTAACAATGCGGTTGCACTGCATCCCATCATTGTCATTGTGTGCATTTTCAACCATTCAATTTATTTTTTAAAAGAGTGTTGGACGGACTGCTTCGACTGAAAAGATGCTGACTGCTTCGACTGCAAAAGATCGGGTCATAGTGCACGATGGATAGCTTCGATTCATTCATCAGAAGCAGCAATTTCAACTCATTGTTCCAGTAAGCAAACCAACAACCCATTGAAGACAATACGCTCAAGACTGATCATCGAGTCTCTTCGGAATCCTTTTTAAACAATAGTTGCATAAAAAATTCCTGGCTATGAAGCACTAGATGGAGCTGGTTAATATTGCGTAATAATACTTCAAACCCCCGGAATTAGCAGTACCTTTGAACATTATGAAGAATACACCGCAGATTGTCATAACGATCCTTTGCTTTATCACGGTTGTATTCATCCCTCTGATTGTACTAATCACATGGCCAAAGGATTCATCGGGTGGATGGCAGGTGGGACAAACGGGCGATGATGAGTGGCAGGTGGAACACGTTGGAGGCATGGGGTTTGATAAGATGAACTCGAATGTCTATCTGACATCAAGTGCTACAAGCGGAGGCAACGCTACAACTGCCAGATGCTTGATTCGAATGCTTTCCTTCTCTGCAGAGACTGGGTTTGCATCGGTAAATCATCGTGTCTTTCCAAGAAGTAGTACTTGGCCAGATGATTATACATGTCCTGGAGATCCAAGATGTATACTGCGGAGGCATCTGCAGGAAGATTTTCAGCAAGTGGATGAAACTAGTTATCCATACACATGTTCCAACATATATATTGAAAATGACAAAGCTGTCATTCTGGGTCGTCTGTCGCACGAATCAGCAGAGTCAACGCCTCATGGTGGATTGGTGATGGTGATGAAGCTGGATTCGAACAAAATTGGTGGAACCGAAACGCAGGAATTCAGACTGCGCGAAGAACCGTTGGTGGCTGCACTCGATGGTGAAGATATATTATACCTGACTTCACACTCACACTCTACCCCGAGATCAATAAATCTGTTCCGCTATTTTCATTCCGAAGGTACCTGGAAATTTGATTGGAGAACCAATCACGTGGTATCGGGACATGGCGAAGGGACATATATTGCGAGTCTGAATGTAATTCTTGGGGGCCAGTACTTGATCCTTTCTGGCAGTAACGCTCAAGACCATGATCATAGTTCGGGGCATTTTGGAGTCTATGATGCAAGAGATGGATCCATCGTGGAAGACGTTCATGGCAGCAGCAGTGTCCTCCAAGAACCAAATGCCCAAAAGCACGATATTGAGTGTGTCTGCGTTGATGAACAACAGTCAGACGAGAGCGTTGCGATTCTGTATCGAGCATCTACCGTCAGCTTAAACGGCAAGACTTTCTCGATCGTGAACAAACTTCGACTCGAAAAGGACATTGAAAGTCAGCAACTGCGGCAGTCTCATATTTGGACGGAGGAAATCATGCACGCTTCCATGGAAAAGTGCCAAGTAGCAAACGAAGCTTTGATCCTGGCTGGATACGCCCACAGTCACAGTACCGGTGCGGCCCTTACCATTTCGAAGCATTCCACGTTGAACGGGGGCATCCTATGGACCACAAAACAATCGACTGATGTTCGATTGGCGTTGGCAGACATTGTGATGGACAATCAAAACAATGTTCTAGTTTACGGGCAAGTAAGCAAAGACGACGATCGCAGTGATAATGTTGTACTGCAGGCTCTCGACGGGTCTACTGGAAAGGTTTTGGCGCAGAGCAACAGCCCACCAATGGTTGCGACGCAAAGGGGATCTGCGAGCAGTCCACGCGGTAGATCTTGGGACATTGTGTCTCGCGAAGAGCTTATATCCAACTACCAGTTTCCAATGACAATTCTAATTGTTGGATTGATAGTCTCTATACTTTTGGTTCTATGCATGGCTGCCAGCTACCGTGAAAGTGCCAAGGAACAAGAGAGAAAAACGTTCCAAAAACGAATCATGAACGTATTCTCTTATCTGAAGCCCTTCGAAGCGACAGAAGTCGACCTTCAGCAATCGCCAACAGGCGGTTTCAATGGCACGTACACCGATGAACTTGTCAACAAAGAATCCGAAACCGAAAAGGTTAGTGTGCTGCAAGACTCCGCCAGTAAACCCCTGTCAGCTCGACTGTAACCTGTTCCTCCGAAGAAATGACGCGGTGCTGTTGGAAGCACTTTTTCATTTATACCACTGTACAATAACTTTTTTCATTATTTTGATACTGGTCTTTCTTTCACGTTCAAGTACTAAGTACTCATAGGTGTCCAATCATAGGGTAATGGCGTACGTCGTCCCAATGGCGAACGCTGTCGCACCAGTAATGGATCCACTGCAGTAGTTAGCGCATTGATTCCTGACGTTGTTCTTGGCTGAATCTTTGTGGAAAAGTCTTCCTGATCCAATGCCAATGGCAATCTTCGGTACTCGTATCCTGGATGGATTCCTTCCATGTGAAATGAGGACTTCCCATTGCAGCACCAGTCTTCAAAATCCGAATAGCAGTTATACAAAGTTGCATTTCGGTTCACTTCGCAATAAGGATGAGACTTGATGTTAGAGTCGTCATTGTTTGTGTGGTTCCGAGAAAGAGCAATCGACATTGGTAGTGATTGAGTAAAGCTGCTTGGTCGACCTGCAACGATGACATCGGCGTCACTCAGAAGCATCATATCCAGAATCGAGCTTCGCCATTTTTCCAAACACTTTTCTTTGTGGACTCGAATGGTATTCCCAAACGCCACTCCCAACCCATCGGCTTCTCGCTCTTGTGGCAAACTGACGAGGGGTAAAATTCCTTGAAGATGCTCTTGGAGTTTGTGAAGAATCGAATCGGTATCAATCGCCAAGAAAAGAAGTGGAGGTCTGGATGTCTTCGTCCATTCTTCTTGACGAATCATTTGGGCAATCAGCTCGGACACGGAAAATGCCCATGTGTCCCAATCTTCCAATCCCCGATTCTTTCGCAGAAAGTCACCCTTTTCGCCATTTCCAGCCCTCACGTGCAACCCAAAGACTGTGTGATTGGCAAACTGGAACGTATCCCTCCAATAGTCGATCAACGTCTGATGCCTAGAGACAAACCGATCCTTCAAACTCTGGTGAAAGTCTGCCGTCTCTTGGAAAAAGTCCTCGAGTCCATGGTGGTAGGGACACAGCTCTTGGCTGGTGGTTCGATTTGGCGGTGGCATGCTAGCAGTATTCACCAAATCGTTCGTCGACGACCGTTGCTGTACCGGTATAGGAGGAACATAGTAAAATTCCTCCGATTGTCGTTTGAACTTTTTGAAACCAGGAATTTCATTATTCAGTCTCAGATTGGAATGCGTGTAGTTGCCGTAAGCTTCTGCGAATGCCTGCTGCCTTTGAAGCTCTTGAAGTTCGGAAAAAGGTTGGGGCCCAAAAAAAAAGTGAAATACTTCGACATTATTGGTTTGATTCTGCTGGACAATGGCAGATGAACCAGTTATTTCCTTCCCGTCATCATCATGTTCCGGAGATAATGCACAGGTGGCCCAAAAGACACGGAGTTGAAAGTTCAAACGCTTCTTGGCCACGTAATGGGCGTCACTCATTTTAGACAGGCGATGACCCAATCCACAACAGGAAAAGTAGTCCACACTGGACATGGATTCTGCCATTTGCCGTTGCTCAAGTCGAAGATTACGAGGTTCTGTCAATGATCCTTGCGTATCCGGTAATGAATCATGATTCAATTCTTTGTTTTCCATTTGCGATATCGTTCGCATAGGTGCTTGTATTCCTCCTCCTTCTTGAATTTGTCGTTGTTGTGCCAGTTCCTCTTCGAACTGATGTCGTTGATGCCAGATGGAAATCAGCAATACGATACATGCAAGAGTCCAGCATGACACCGCCAGTCCAACAACGATTCGACATTTTCGTAGGCGAATGACACCACGACGTTTCATCGCCCGCCCGCGGAGACGTCTATTTAATAGTCAATCCATGCAAAAAAACAGTTGGATGGGACGTGCTGAATAGCAACAGGAGATGATGACGAATGAGATGAGTGATGACACCGTATGAGTATGTTGATGTTTTGAATAATCTCCCGCAATGCCAAATCATGCGCGATACGCGCGAAAGATGGAACGAAAAATCCCTCACAAAAAGCCAAAACAAGAACAAAACAAAAACATCAACAACAACCGCGCCATTATTCTTCCGTTGTTCTTTCTATCGTCTCGAATCTTACCTGTCCATCTAGCTAGCAAAATGCCTCCAAATCAACCCAACAATGGCAATGAAGGCCTTGTCAGCAAGTTGCAAGAAGCCTTGGCCAAGTTTCGAAAGGATCGTGATCAATTGCATCGCAGCAAGGAATTGGCATTGGAACGCTGCCGCTTGATCAAGGCAGAAGAGGAAGCTCTTCTCAATACGGTCCAAACCATGAGAGACAAGCACAATCATTTATTGACTTCAAAGACCAAGATTGAGACTCAAATGGGTCCTTTGGAAGCCAAGGTTCAAAAAGATACTATCGAAGTAAGTAAAACTACTAGTAGTAGTAAAGCACAAAGGAACAAGCAATGCTAGCTAGAGCCGAAAGGTGGTGGCCCTATTGCGACATTTTGCTTCAAGATGGAACACTTTTTCTCATTCTCGTTCAATTTACATTTATAATTGTTCTCTTCCGTCTTGTTTCAGATGCAATTCCAGCACAACGAATTGTTGAATGCTCGCAACAAGATTCAGCAGTTGAACAACCAGTTGGAAGAAACTTCCAAAGCCCAACAAGAACGCCTCCAAAAGACTCAACAATTGGTCTGTGATTTGCGGACTCAACAAGGATCTAGCTCGACTGCATCTGCAGCTTTGGAAGAACCGCTTCCATTGGACGATCAAGTTCGTGGATTGAAAAAGGAAATGGATCACAACATTGATTTCATGGATCTGTTGGCCAAAGCCATGGACGAATCCATTCGTCAAATGGAATCCAAAGTACAATTCTACCGCGTCCAATCCAGTCGCATGGAAGAACAGATGGGTATTGCTCCCATGGAAGATGATGGAACAAGAGAAGAAGATCGACAAGAAGAACCCAATCAGCAGGGCCAACATCAGTCTGCTTCGTTCGCACCAGTACCTCGCGCTCAAGTTGGAAATGAAACTGACATGCAACCAATGATTTCAACTCGAGGTACTGCCCATGCTTGAAATGACAAGGGCTCGATTCTTCTTGTGCCAAATGTAATTTTGCATTGTAATTGTTGTGATACTGTTGTTGCTTAGTATGGAGCGATATCAACATAATGATTGCGCACCTAGCGAAGGTTTGGTTGGTAAATGTCACTTGAAAAAGTAATATCATTCCATATGAAAAAAATGTTGCCTTATGTAGTCTGTGTATAATATATATATGTATACTCTAGCATACTTCGTGAACTCTGCAGTCCTTGGACGATTTTCATGGCGAACCAAAGACGGAAACGACTCACTCCTTCGTTCCGGTACTGCTTCGCTTTGAAATCTAGAAGGTGCCACTGCTCTTAATGGCGGTTCCATTAGTCGTGCTGGTATCGACGTAATGGGTTCCCACCAAAGGGTAGAAATTCAATGGAGCGCTTTAGGCTTTTCTGCGAGTTCTGCTTTTCCTTGGAAGGACGACCAGCATGGCCCAGAAAATTGGCACCCAAGGAAGCATTCTGTTCTTCTTTTTCTTTTTCTGTGCTTCACTCTTATCTACCAAAGAGTCCGAACTAGGAGTTGGTTTTTGTTCTGTTACTGTGGCCTCGGCTACTAACACCTGACCTCCTTCTATTTGCTTCACCTTTGCCATGGATTCTTCCGAATTGTGCTCCGTGATGGATGGGCTGCTACGCTGAACACTACGGCTGCTGCTGGGCTGCTCATTCCAAGATCGGATGCTGTTTTGACGTTGCCTCATTCCTCTGCGTCTATGGGGTGCTGCTGTAAGGTCTCGGGCCGGAAGACTGGGACTGGATTGATTGCCTTTGCTGTCTCCATTGTTAAAAAAGCCTAAAGATGTGTCTTCTTCGCCCATGAATGATTCAACATCTGACATTTCTGTGATCGAGGAATCATGGCAAGAATGAAAGAATATCTTCTCTTTGGGGACAATGTTTGCTATATCTGCATCATTGTCAGACCGCATCGAACGTGTCAGGAAGTCCTTTGCTTGGGTGAAAAAGTTGGAAGATTCATTTTCTAACACAGTTGAGGAATCATTCCTGAAGCTATTATCAATCATCGTATCTATGATTAGGCTCGACATGGTGAATTTTGGTCCAGAAGCCTTTGCGTGGACAGAACTCAATTCAATTTGAATAACGGTAGGAAGAATTCCAAAGTTGTGGCAAGTTTCGAAGTTGTTGTTGAAACAGGGACGAAGATCCATCCAAAGAAAAGAACAAATCGTTTCTCCGAATATTTGGTTTTATCTCGACGAAAAGTAAAATGGTTTCTCCGATATCACACGAGTTTTGCACGTTTCTCTCAGTGATTTAAAAAATAAAAATATTTGACTTGTGACAGGAAAATAACGAACGGCGGGCGGGGCTAAGTCAACGCGCTCTTATTTGGACGTCACCATCTCTTGGGACAAGTGATGAAATCGCATGGCATTGCGCACCGAATATGGGGTGCCAAGGGAAACTGGAATAAGCGCTTGATGATTCATTCGTATCGCACTTATCTAACTACGATACTTCGGGAGCAAGGTTGTTCTTGAATTGGCAAGATTTTCAGAGCGATCCAAATACGGAAACGACACGCCTTCCGATACTGCTTCATTTTGAAACATGGGAGGAACCACTGCTCTTAATGGTTGTCCTTGACTCAAAAAAGGAATGAAATGCGTTGCATGATGAGGCAAGTTCCAATAGGGAAGTCACTGGCTGTCCTCCGTGTGATCGGCCTCTTAAGGCGATGCATAGTTGCTTATTTCTATCACCACCTACTTTTATCCACAAAGTTCTTTTCCTCCATCTCCTCATATTCCCTCGTATTGAAAAAGGGCAGCATATAAAAGTATGGCACTTGAAGGCCCCACGAAATTGCGTTGTTGTTTGATTTCCTGGGATTGATTGTAAAACAGAGTCCGTCATTGTCTCGACAGGTTTCATAGAGGACAAGTTGTTCGTTGGATACATGAGTATATCTATCTGTAGAGTTGGCATACTCATGAAATTTTTCGTAGTATTTTGCGTGATACAAGTCGACCGCTGGTTTGTACCCTCCAAATGTGCCGCCACCCATTTGATGGTGAGTCTTGAAATGAATGATGGGAGTGATATTCATTATAGCCAGTTTGGTTTCCGGAAGCTCCGGTGGAATCCGTTGTATTATTGTAGAATTGGTGTACTCGTCCCATCGGACAAACCCTGCGTCCATCCAGGCAAAAAAGTTGGATTGAAACGGGTTCATATCAGATCCTAGTTTCAAAAAGTCTACCTTTGAGTTCCAAATCTGATATAGATTGTAGTCGTAGCCATTGTTTATGCCTGCACCTCTACCATCCTTAGAGACACTTTCCCAAAAGGCAGGTCGTGGATATCTTTTTACCAAGTTCGTATCGGATAGATTCATGGGTATCACAACTGTTCGTTCTGGTTTGCCCCTTATTTCTGCGAGAAGGGGAGCAACCTCAGGAGACGTATAGATTATCATGGGATCTGAATTGCTGAATAATCTTTCCATCAACTCGATATAGTTGCTATCGCTGTGCCGTTTTGTTTTGTTCACTAGAAAGTATGCCGTAATGATTGTATGGTTCGATCTGATTTTGCCATCCATGGAATTACTCGTGGGGGCTTTGATCGTTTTCATGATGTATGAATGCAGATTTTTACTGTCGGGTACACCAAACATAAAGATGGAGGCTGCTGCAATGAATCCTGCGAAAAATATCAAGATTGCTAAAACGATCACCATTGCTGAGGAATAATTCCTTGCCGTTTCCCGAGGACCATCAGCACGACTAGAGACAATGATACGGATCGCCATCCTCTACCTGTTTAAACTTTCTCTTTGTAGCGTATCCCAATGATTCTGGAGATGATGCTGTGTTCAGTTGCACCTATAGTGAATAGAATACGTGTGTAGGGTGTAGATAATAATCGTCACTATCTTATCACAGTATACGTTGATGTTATATTGCATCTTTGTCTGATTTGCAAAAGTGCGGTGCGTTTTTGGATCAATACTGCGTACGGCATCGGCGATTCGAATCCAACCAATCGAATCATCTAATATTCACTGAACAATCAATGCAATACAGGAAGTTCCATCCTTATTCTATCTACACGGTGACACTTGTTGCAACATGTACAGCAATAGATGGCGCCGCGGAATCATGTTGGAATAGGCAAACATTTCGATCTCGCTATCCTTGTGGCCCACAGATCCTTCATCGCGGACTATCGCTCAAATATTGTGTCAAATGGGGGAAAGAGAGAGGGGGGTCGCGCCGGTGTAGACTCTTCTTCGTCAAAGATCTGGCTTCCTTCCTTCGTCAGGTACAGTATGCTATGACTATGACTGCAGGAGATCACGATCACATTTTATTTTGCAACATTTGCAGTATATTTATCACGCGGCATAAAGAGCTGCATTTCATATTTGATCTTCCTTCCATGGCACAAACCAATAAGCCTTAAGTTCGACAGAAGATAGAAGAAAGGCATTGAGGTAGGCATCAGAGTCAATCAACAGATAAACAATGGCAAATCTTGCAGAATACATTAAAAAGAAATGGACGACCGAAGATCCCGAGACGATTGTCCAAGAGATTGGCCAAGGCAAACGGTTTCCGACAGAGGCACTTGCCTTGAGCAAGGATATTGAATACAGAACCAAAATTGTACAGGCAGGTGGAGTGGATCGTATCCTGGAGTTTCTTCTTCAAACCGATACACCGTTCCAAGATGTTCTGCACAAAGCCAAAGGGGGAGAAGCATCGTCGGACGACAGTGATTTGCAGTGCCCATCCGTTTGGCTGAATGTGGTCAACAACTTTTGCCAAGATGGTTTTTTGCCAGATTCCACCTTGGCACGAGAAACTAGATACAAGATTGCCATTAATATGGGGCCACTCTTTATAGACATGTCGGATTGGGAGAAACGAGAATTGTTTGAAAGCAAGGACACTTGGATGAAATCATTGCCATTTTTTGTCAGCATGCTTTCTGGGTTCTTGGCATCGAGCTTTACCAAACTAGCTGACTTTTTAGTACGCCAAGACAGTCTTCCTTCCTTCTTGGTGCGAGTCCTGTACCTGGAACTTGGAGATCCGACAATTGTCTCGGAGATCGTGGAGTATTCTATTGAGCGCGACGATCGTCTCGTCAAAGCAGATATCATTGGACTATCACAAACATGTGCCGCACACTGTATAAAGTCATTATGGATGAAGCGGGGGAAGCCCATGGTTGAACAATATGCGGATATTCCCATACGACCAGAACACCAATTGACCATGCAAACTGGAATAATCAAATTATTTGAAGTGAACGGAAGAAAAGGATGGTACCGAGGGGGATATGGTGCTACACTGAGTCTGTTCATTATGCTATATGACAAATGTGATCGATTTTCGAGTGAATTTGGAGTCGAATCCGTCTCGGCCAAAATGGTTGCCATATGCCAACGTCACTTGTCGAAACATATCCATCTCAGCCGGGATCGGTTCTTCATGGAAGCAGTCATGACGGGAATCGTTACTCTAGGTGCCACCATGATGACACCTGCCATCAATCAACAACAGGCACCGATTGACTATAATGTTGCAAGTGCCATTCACGCTGGCCTGTTGTATTTCTGTTTGGACGTTTGCGATTCCAATGATGTCCGTCTGGCCAAAGCCTTGGACGGATTCTTGAGCATTGTGACAGCCACGGCAAACTTACCAGAGACAAAGAAGGCATTGCAAAAGCAAGGCGAAGACATTCGATGCCGACTGGAACGTGTCTTGGCACGTGCGCCCTACCTTCATACAGGTCTGAATATTCTCAATCAGATACTCCAGCAATGTTTGCCCCCGCAACCCGACATGAATACTTTGGGATGCGAGTTTTGCTTTGAAAAATGCAACAAGGGAACAACCAGCAAATGCTCCTTTTGCCGTACCGTTACCTACTGTTCGGACGACTGCAAACGACTGAATTGGATGCTTCATCAGAAGGACTGCTGCATGAAACGAAAAATGCCGCTACCAAAAACTGTTGAGGAGATTATCGCACAGGGCAAGATTATGTTTGCTCAACACATCAATCAGCTTCTGTTCCAGTCGGCACTGAAGAATCTTTCCATTTTGGACACCTTTTTGGTATTCGACATGAGTGAAGCAACTCCACTATTTCAAACGTTGACAATCGGACAATTCAAGGACGTCTATCTTCAAAACGAGGATTCGGTTGAAGAGGCTCTCAAGGTTTTGACAAAGAACAGGGCCTCGGGATCGGTGACGACTGTCTTTATTGGTTTTACAGAAGATGGAATGCTTGCCAAGTTGGTCACTTTTCCTCCCGAGACAGCACCTGTAATGCCAATAACACAGGGAGAACGATTGGAACCCGTGAAGAAATGGGAATCCGCCCAACAACTGGTAGTGACATTATCCTCAGCAGGCCAAGGGAGTGGGGCAATCCAAAAACTACAGGCTCACCCGCAATTACTACGGGCATCAATACTAAAAACAATGAAGCCATAGATTAAAAGAAACTTGTACATCGTCAGTCGTATCGCGATGGTTGGCTGCTAGAATTTAATTTTGATCGATTTTAATTTTCTTTACTACATTTTAGTGCCGGGGAAGATTAATCTCCGTCAACTCCTACAATGTGGTGCTTCAAGAATCCTTGAGGTCTGACACCTGTAACAGTTTATTATTCGTCCCGTTGTACCGCGAGCTCTGCCAAAGAACCGCGGTCTGTCCACCGAACAACGATCTCTATACCGTAGTTCGCTGTACCTGGTAGTGGTCCTGAAGTGCTGTGACTTGGACAAAAGCATTTTTCCCAACTTCAGCCAGAGAACCATTTGGGTGCAATTGAACGAGCTAGAACTATGATAGTAATTTTATGAGTGAGTTAGAGCCTCGAGCAACTTCGTGTATGTGAAGGGTTTTGGTCATATCAGCTGTGATGACGTTCATTTTGGTTGGAGCACACATGATCTTAACGTAGGGTTTGGGTTTGGGATTGGGTTGTTGTTTTGGTTCGAATTGAATTTTATGAGGGAGTGAGAACCTCGAGCAACTTCGAGTAGATTTCGCCTTGGTCCTGTTCTCGGATAAAATGACCAACTTCAATATGCAGCAATTCCCACAGTGTGCTGTTTTATCCGTTTTCCTAATTAACTCCCCGGAAAACAAGGCGAACTTCAATAATG